AATAATGTAATTGGGGGCGTGAGAAATAAGCAACAGCTGTGATAGACTGTTGTGAGGTCACGTAATTTGAGGTCTCCCAACGCTCAAAATGTTCGGGTAACCATTCTGATCAGCTTCTGGGAGATTTACAACAATTTTACATTTGTCATGTGTCCATAATGTAACAAACGTCTCAGAGCTACGCAGGTTAAATGCCGAGTGAAGCAATTATTTACAGGGTTTTTTTTCCCCCGAAGTATTCAGGTAAGTTTCCCTTTTTTATGCTAGACCAGAACATAGATCCCAAAACTGCTTCAAAATGTCCTGCCCCCCAATGTGAGTAACACACCTCTTGGTCAACGTTTAGCCAGGAGAACAAAGACTGGTCCAGGGCAAATCTTGGTTAAACATTGGACTGTTCGATAAGGTGGTGTTTGTGTACGGGAGGTGACTTCATAAATATAATATTGTCCAGGTTTACAGAGGAGTAAGTGTAGGGAAATTCTCGTGTAAATAAAAATGTTTTACCAGGTAAGGCCCACTGAGCTGTATGGCTCTTTTTTCAGAAGCGACCTGGCCACAAATGATAGGTCAACGAAGTTGGCTTATCGCGTTGAAATGTACGGCACACAAATACTCTAAATCCGCATGATGTTGATTCTTAATATGGAGGGAAAAACCAGAGGACTGGGAAAAAAATCTATGCAACTATGGGGAGAGCGAGACACACACGCAAACTCCAAATATACAGGCATCAGGGTTGGGATCGAACCCACAACCTCCTGTATACCAGGCGAGGTAGTTAACATCTTGCCACCGTGGCGACCCTGTAAGACAGGGATGCTCATAGCAGAGAAGTTGAACTCAATCTTTGGAGAGAATCCATGAAACTTCAAGGCAGGGATAAGTTTATTTTAAAAAGAGCAGCTGTGCAAACCAATGTAGAGTGCTCACCCCGTTACTCGGGCGAATCTTATTTAAGTGATCTTAGCCTCACCCAAATGCATCCAAAGGATAAAAAAGCCTTCGTTTGGCCTCGAGGTCTTACCCATTTTCACCAAACCCTAATCATCCTTTCGTAGTTTAGCTATTCTAATCTCTATTTTGTGCACAGGCAAAGCCCATCTCGCCGCACTAACACCAGGGAGCCCATTTGTGACTAATTTATAAGATTACCCTTTTGGGGGAACAGTTCAAGATTTAGTGTAATCTTACAACTGCATTCACATGCATGCTAATGCACCACGGCTGGGACTAATAACCACCTTAAAGCACAAAGTGTTCATTCTAAAAATTTTACCTGACAAAAAATGGCATGCATTTTGGAAACAACTGATACAAGACTTCATATAATTTGTTTTTATTCTACAATAACAAAAAATAACTGTAGAGTCAAAAAATGCTTATGAACATTAGATGGGACAAATAGAAAAATGTACCTGTCTAAACAAAATTAACTGAAGACAAAAATCCATATACTCTATGATTCGTGAATACCTAGACATACTAAATATTAATTTGCGTACACGTGTAGACCTTTTGTCAAACAACTTCTGAATGAGGACCTCCCCATGCAGTGCAACGCTGGTCGGAATGGCTTGAAGGTATGGACATGCGAAAGTCGAAGTACAGAACAACAGATTTTGCACCGCTGCCCTCTGACTGTCCACCGTGCAACCCAGCAAATATGAAGTAATATTTAACAGTCCAGTATGGTGTCAAGAGTACGCCTAAGTTGGGGTTTGCTATAAGAGTATAGATATAAAATGTAAGAGTGTATATAAATGTACATATGTGCAATAAATCATCTGTATATGATAAATCCTGGACTCGTTTCTTGCGCGGGCGATACAGTTACACACCCTCAAATCCACATTCGCGTGATGTCGGGGGGGCAATTTGACTTTCTTCCTGCCCTGTGCGTGTAGCTAAAGTACGAGTCACAATCGTAAGTATGAATCGGGGGGGGGATCAGTTGCGTATGAGCTGAGTCCACGTACTCCGAGCCTGCGTACTCCGAGAGCTTACTGTACATTGTATTAAATACACTTACATAGTATTGTATGCATACAACACTGTAAAGTGCTCCAAATATTAATGACTTCATGCAAGCATTATCTAACGCCATCATGCAAGCATTATCTAATGCTTGCCGGATGGCATTCATCATCTTATGCAGCACGTGATTGCAGGCTGCTTTAACGAATCATTCACGATGCGTACATTCATAGTTTAGGCTTCGGTGCTCCTCGGGACTCGTGCAGATGAGTGCAGTATCCAAGTAAAGTTGAAACATTTGAGACCAAGACTATGGCAGTAGGCCTTGCTGTTGCTGAGCCAATCAAGGTACAGATACATATACAGGTGACCCCCGAATTACTACTCCACTTGCGACCCCCCCCTGCTTTTACGACCGTCCTTGTAGTAAGACGCCCCCCCCCCCCACAGTAACTCGTATCTATGACCGCCTGATGACCGCTACCGACGTTGAGTCGACTGATGGCACTGCTTTGGTCTTCCGCCATATGCATATGTACAGTATAGCCTTACAGTCTGCAGCTGCACCTCGAGTGAATGCTCATCTTTCACAATGTGCTTCATTTTAGTGGATTTTCTTCAAATTTTGAAAAAAGTTCACCTTCCGCAATGTCTGAGAAGAGGAAATGTTATGCACGTGCAGAAAAGTACTTAAGAATTTTCAAACATGTTTTTTTACTTAATAAATGTTTCTAAAGGTTATGTTAAGTTACCATAAATGCTGTGGGTGCGGAGGTCGCCTGTATAACATCTTCAGCAAATGTATTTGTTATTTGGCAGATGGAGGAAATACAAATTTCAGGGTATGTGTATTAAACGTGGAATTTAGAATACCTACTGTGATGCAATCACGTGATAATGTTGTGGCTTGGCTCTCCAACACACCAGCGTGCTGTACTAGTGACGAATTGGCACGTTCTGTTTACATGACAACCCTTACTAGTTGGCTGTGTCAGGTGGTGTCGGGTTTTAACGACACATTTACATATTTACGCGATCTAACCCAAAAAAACCTCTATTACATATGTGACAATTGACATAATATTCAATGAGGTCAAAATATGTATTCCTGAGCTCCAATCTGTCATGCTAACATGTCATACATGAAAACTGAAATGTATCAACATTTTATCCATATTATAATTTCTGTCAGGGCCTATAGATCAAAATGCCTTCTAAATATACATCATGAACAATTTTCTGAGAAGTCAGATGGCAAAAAAACCTCAATTCAGTTTTACTATCCCCGCTTAAATGTTCAATGCCGCCGTAAAATTTGCCTATTCTTCAGAATTACCCCGTTACTTATTTTCTCCATAATGATGAAAAATATTATTATATAGATTATTTACATGTGTTTGGGTTCATAGAACAATTCCCTTTTCCACGTGCCCTAATCATGCAGAAAACAAAACGAATAACTTGCATTCCTTGTATCATGTATTATTTAAGACCAAACACAACACTTCAGAAAGACGAGAGAGCAGCAATGATGTGACGTCTCAGTACAGCGCAATGCTTCGTGGTGCGTTTAGTGGCCATCACATGATAAAACAGCTTAATAATGACAGACTTATTCAGGAGTCTGGCATGATCTCCCTCAATTGTCTGAGAAAATGTAACAAAACATCAGTACGTGGAATGTCAACCCCATGCTTCCTAATGTGATGTTACACCAGGAACAGGGCAGTCCCAAACAGCTTTCCCATTCCAATGACGTATGCGTACATGTACGTCATCAGTTTTACTCTTCCGTTTCCGTTCTGATGACGTACGTGTACGGAATCAGTAAAACTAAAATAAATTTACTTTATCGATACATATTCAGGTCGGAAGATGTACCGAGGCTCCCACAAGGCCACGCAGGAGGGCGTGTGGCACAGTATGGCACCAACTATCATAGAGTGCGGTCGTGTCGCTACAGTTATATGCGGTGAGTACAATGTTTTTAAAAATGGCGCTACTACGCCTCTCCAAATAAAATTAACACTAAACCACATGCGCGTTCCAAGATTCAGCAACGAACGGGACCCACTCTGAAATTTGTAAACATCTCGGAAGGGTAAAAGGTTCAGATATACGCAAGATCAAATGTATGGCCTTTAAGGGACCATGGCAGCGCTTAATTCTTGTAGGTCTTCCGAGTTGTTTGATGAGGCAAGCTGTTTGTGTAGCCAAAACCAAGCACACGTATTTTTTTATTGAGTTGTGATTCGAGTAACATGGACTGTGGATCATACCATCTCAGTCTCCATATCGTAGGATGAGGATTTATCCTAAACTTTTGAAATTTATTTCTGCCACCATTTTAAGCTTTGACCAAGAATAGTAAAATATGGAAAGACTATTGAGATTTATTCATAACACGCTGTTAATTATCATAACCCAAGATAACAACAGGACATTTTACTGCAGTCATATAAATAGTGCTACTTTAACCACAAACGGCCCGTTTCTGTGAACTATAGCAGCCTAATAATGAAGGCCAAAAAACAATCCGGGTCACACAGCTGCGGAGGATAACTCGCAAACGTTTAGCGCCATCATCGGAAACATCATCAAAAGGTTACTCAAAAAGGTTACTCAAATACAGAAAACACATGGCCACACTATGTGGATGTTTGATTGATCAATAAGAAACCCATATAATGATGCACGTACATATCAAAACACAATACCAAAGCGTACACAAATACGTGAAGCACATTTAGGCCACAAAGTACTGCAGGGAAAGCCCATTTTTCGTTTTGTTGCATGCACTTGCACTGAAGTCATACATTGGCAAACAGCTATACGCGTGATCTCTTAAAATTAGTGTGCTTTTGCAACATAGCAACCGTCACCAAAAACAAGATGGCTCGGTGTATATACTTACCAATACAGGCATGGTATTAGATATTTCCCCATTCATGCCTTGTGGCCTAAACGTGTCACATGTTAGCCCGAATTCATTAAAAGGTGAGGGGTTTAAATTGAATGTGAACCTGCGCCTCTCGGATGAGCACGCTCCATGCTTCGATGTCATACGGGTTGTCCTCAAGTTTTCGCTCCGCTTTCTTCACTTTCTCCGGAACGTACTCCTGCACCTGATGCACATGCACGCGCGCACACACACATACACACGTACGGTTAAATTGGATGATTGCCTGGGTATGCAGATAAGACAGTGGAGTAATCACACAGGTCAAACATTTCTACAGTAATATATTTAATATATGAGAAGACAAACAAGAAATACATTCCATATTTTGAGTAAATAAATGTTGAGGAATTATATAATCCTATGAACGAATGGTCCAATCACCTGACCGGTTATGTTTAAAATTATCTATTCTAAACGAATCTTACCTTAAAAGATCTTTCATAAAGCCACGAAGAATTCAAAATGGCAATTTAAATTCAAATACTCTAAAAAGCACAAAAATGGCAGAACCTACTTTGTCATGAAGCAAACACTTGCTGTAAACAGAAGATGGCTACAGAAGACAACTCCATTCATTGCCATTATAAGAAGCTTCAAAGTGTAAGAGCATAAAATCCCACAGTTGTGTAATCAGTCATTCAAAAAGTTTGCGTTTCTCAAATATTTCACTATCACATAATGCAACTACATGAAAAAATAAGATATTTGCATGAGGAGAAAATATTTTCATACTATTCTGGAAACAAGTTTTGCTGTCTGGATATCCTGTTTGCCTGGCTGGATTCCTGACTGACTGGATTCCCGGCCCATGTGCACGATGATGGCTCACCCGCATCCCACAACATTGTCCGTGCATGCTGTTGCCCCCCCTACCCTTCACCCGTGTATCCCACGAAAATCCGCGAGAGATGAGAGAGTTTGAGGGAGATAAACAGGGGAGAAAGAAGGAAGGACTGGAGAGTAGAGGTGTGGGGAGAGTGAAATGGCATTAATCAGAGGACAAAGAACGCAAAATCTAAAAAGAGAGTGAGGGAAAACGACAAGCAGTGGGAGAAAACGGGAAAGGGAAGAGAGGTTGAGACTGCAAAGAAATGTGAAAATAAGGTGAGCAAGGGTGAGGTGGGAGAAACAGGGAGTGAGGTAGTGGGGAAGGAAGAGGGTGAGACAGAGGAAGGAGAGAGTGAGGGAGTGCGAGGTAGAAGAGGGAAGAGAGAAAGAGACAAAATGGGAAATTGAGATAAATTGAGATACACAGTGCAGAGAAGGCAAGAGAAAGGTGGAGGCAGGGCTCTACATAAGATAAAAAGGCTTTGCTGGCTGGGACAGACGATCATGTGAAAAGAATATGTGGCTTGCTCGTTTATCCAATTGCTAAACTGGGTTGCCAGTAAATGGACCGATGTATGTTGGACTTCTTTTGCACCATATGTAGCCAACCGTGCTAATCGGAGGTGAATGAAGGGCAATGGCTTACAGTGCAAATTTAGAACCAGGAATAATATCGTGGTGGTGTTCTTATGACAAAAAACACCACATTCATCAATAACTGCCTTAAATATGTATGTGCTACAAAGAAGGGCCATTGCCCAAAACGTCGCCTATATATTTTTCTTTGGTCTAAAATAAAAAAATATATAGGCCACGTTTTAAGGCAGTGTTATTGATGAATGTGTTGAGTTCCATTGTTGTGCACCACGCTTCCTTTACATTAGAAGGATCAACTTTACAGGAGTTTTTTTTTTACACCAGCTACAGAGATAAGTCAAGTTCAAGCATTAACACTTTCAACCTTGATTGGAAAGCATAAAACATTTTACCGACCACACCATCAACTCCATGAAAATGAGACAAAAGATGGTTTCTTATTTTCCCCAGTGAGGCGGCTAAATTCAGCACGCATCAACATTCCGAAGCAACATTACGTAAATACATTAACACGAGGGCCGTCAAACTCAATTCTTCCAAGCAATATTTATAGTCTTCTTGGTTCTTTCGGTAAAGTCACGTAGAAGGAAAATAATAAAATAATAAAAATAAAACATGATAAAATAATTCTCACGACGGTTCGGCCACAACGCAAGCAGCCGTCTTCAGGTGAAGAACAGGTCTGTCAAGTAGACAGAGTCATTCATGTCTACTTGACAGACCTGTTCTCCACCTGAAGACGGCTGCTTGCGTTGTGGCCGAAACGTCGTGAGAATTATTTTATTATGTTTTATTTTTATTATTTTAATATTTTCCTTCTACGTGACTTTACCGAAAGAACCAAGAAGATGAATCCCTGCAGTCACGAAAGCTTTAAATCGAAATTTATAGTATTGACAAGGCATGATCTCATCGTGATGCAATAGGGACTCGGTTGCTAAAAGGAGTAGCTCTGATGCACCAAACGTGGGAATGCAGTGACAAAGCTACACAACTACACACCAAGGATTTTCTTGATTACAGATTCTGTCACATCACACATTTGCTCACATCATACACATCACACGCATGTGATCACTTCACAAATATTTGATAACGTCACACAGTTGGTCCCACCACACACGTCATCACATCACACACGGTCATCACATCACACACATTTGGTCGCGTGAAGATCAACCATGACTAAGGAAGTCACGGGACCCATTTCCATCATTAACAATAATTTTTATTTGCAATGTACCATTCACAAGCCTCATTGAAAAAAATCCAACATTTTCACATTTATATTACATGAACCGGCAATGTGCTTTCCAAGAATAAAACACATTAATAGTAAAACCAATGGTTTAACTGCAAAATCAACTCAAAGGTGTGGTCATATATTTGAAGCTTGTTCATATTCTTTGGGTATTTCGGTAACGAAAGCTTTAAGTCAAGAATTATATTTTAATCTTTCATCAATAACAGGAATAGGCAAAACTTGGACCAAACATCCACTGGAAACAAAGCCACCGTGGAAGGTGAAACTCAACCTAACAGAGTAATTTATAAACTATCTTAATGGTAATCCTTTTGTTCCAAAATGGGAAATGTCCCCATAAGGAGTTTTATGCAATGGTCCACTGAGCTCACTCCGAGCCGTTTTACTTCATCAACAATTATTTAACTGGCTGACTTTATGCGGCTCTTGACCACCTTTACAATAAACCGTTTCTTTCTTTTGGCATGGAATTACATCCACTCAACGCAAAGCTCACACGCAGCAACACTATTAAGCAATGTCATTTTGCGGCGACCAAATGCGAGCATACGTTAAGAAAATCACGTTGGTTATTAAAACGGCTTTATAAGTGAATTACTGTATAAACATGGGATCATGCATGCATGTATACTGCACACTACTTCAGAGCAGAGACCGCAGGAATGGACGCGCTTAATCTATAGACTTGTAATGTATTTCGTGGTGCCACTCTAGAAGTTGATCATTCAAATAGTGCATTGTGCTTCTTGGGCGGTGCGTTTTATTGAATTGTGGTATCGTGCCTCTCACTTAATTGTGTTGCAGTGCACAGCAGTGCTGGAGCACGGTGGACCCTAAGTAAATTAGACCTTAATGAGGTCCTGTGTAATGTATAGGTTGTATTGTGGTCTACTCGAATATGTGCCACTGTATTATGGTAAACTGTAAAACCCTGCAGTTGCAACGTGGTATGCTGCAAAAATGTCTAACGCAATGCACGGTCTGTGGTTTTGGCCACGATGCGTATGCCCCCTGCATTTTTGGAACGGTGAGACGCGGCGACATTTAGACATTTTTACAAAGACAAAGAGTATAGTTTTAAGCATAATCAGCTTAAAGTGGACTTTACGTATGCACCACTCCACAATTATTAATAACACAGCAGTTGGGCGTTTGTTTTAGGCCCAAACGGCCAGGTAACAAACAGCACCATCAAAGTTGCGGGGTCATTAAGGGTTAGTAGACACGTTTATTCAATTGCGCAAGGTTAGAAGGCGCTTGCCATTAAAACCTCAAAAAATAAAAATACTCCCTCAGCAGTACTAATCTAATCGTTCGGCCTCATTTGTTGTTGTTGTCCCGTCTCCCTCAGTCTCTTTTCTCTCGAACTGTGGGATTTTCGTAGCCACGGGCCCCGCGTGAGAAGCCCTCGTGGAGTGAAAAAACGAGGCCCGGGGTCGCCTCGGCTCGACCGATCCTCCGACAAACCCTCAACCCCCTCAACTCCCGGAGCACTTTTACACGTTGCCGCGCACACGCTAAAGACTTAAAAGATGCCCCCCTTAACCAAACAGCCCACGGTGATTAACAAGATCCGTAACGAGGCCCTTCGTTGCATCCGTACCTGCTCTGCGTTGCCTTCGGAGGCCATGGGGGCTCGCGCTCGCACGCGCCGAGCGGCGACTGAGGGTGGCCGCGATGACGACGTGAGGCGGCGATGGGTTTAATAAAACAAAAACCGTGTCGCCCGTCGATACGATCAAGTCGCGCTCACGACGACAAGATGATAACGATGACACTAATACCGAATAAACAACAACAGACGAGGGCTACCGCTGAGGCGCTGCTCCCTCAACTCGCCGCTCAAAGATGGCGCTCCCCCTTGCCAACCCTCCTCCCTCCCTCAACGTCCGCACTGCGCACGCGCGCTCCCCGCAACCTCCGCGATTGGCTGAGCCGCCGTCACGTGAGCAAACTGCCAGATCCGCTCGGCCAATGGCGAGAGAATAAATTGGGGGGGGGGAGGGTTGGGTGGGGGGGGGCGAGAGGGTTGGTGGCGGGGGAGGGGCTAAGGAAAGGGGGAGGGGCTGGGGAAAGGGGGAGGGGCTGGTGGGGGAGGAGCTGGTGGGGGAGGGGCGGGGGAAGGGGGCGGGGGGAGGGGGGTGGGGGTGGGGGCGGAGGAAAGGGGGAGGTGGTGACCTCGGCGCATGCGCAGTGAGGCGTTGCTGGGGTCACGGCGGGGTTACGCGAGTTTCTTGGGCCTCAACCACACGTGTGACCAACAAGACTTTTGTCGCGAATTTATCCGCCAATGTCAATGGGGAGTTTAACACCCAAGAAAACTTTCGTGACCAAAATGTTACCCACGGCACTGGAGTTTTTTTTTGTTCGTGTGTGCGTGTGTGTTAGATCGCGTAAATATACAGCGCGTCGTTAAACCAACCCCGGACACAGACAATCGATTCGGGGTTGTCACATTAACGAATCGTGACAATTGATTTACTATTCTTAGGTTTTTTCGGTAAAGTCACGTAGGTAAAAAAATATTTAAGTTAATAAAAGTAAAATAAAAAACCTCTCACTTGATACAGCTATCGTGCTGTGACGGTTCCAACTGAAGACGGAAGCTTGTGTTGCCTCCGAAACGTCATGATTTTTATTTTATTTTTAATTTTTTTTACCTACGTGACTTTACCGAAAAAACCTAAGAATATGAATCCTTGCAGTCACGAAAGCTTCAAATCTAGAATTGGTTTACTATCACGGGAACTCCTTTGCCAGTACCAAAATATGAGAATAGGTTTTTTCCCACTTTTTTATGGCAACAAAAAATCCTTTTGCAAGAAATCATGTCTGCATTAACCACAATACTTGTGGTCAGAATGCAAACAAAAACATACAGTACTCTGATAATCTTGAATTTGAAGTTTCGTGATTGCAGGAATCCATACTCTTTGGCTCTTTCGGAAAAATCACGTAGATAGAAAATAAAATAAATCACAACGTTTCGGGCACAACACAAGCGTCCATCAGAACCAAAGAGGATACTCTGATAATATATGCATCGTCTTTGAAACTGATTGGTCCACACCAGAGACAGCTTTCTTTTGAGCCTCGTCTCAAACGGCGTTAGACCAGAGGATGCCAAAAGGCGTTCAGCACAAAGACAACGAACGCCATTTACAAACTAAGCTGTGGGGGTGGCCAGCCTTGTCCACCTCCATGTGGCGATGGCTCCTTCCGCGCTCTCTCCGAGCTTACATTTACAAGAAAATGTCTTACATTGACATGCTCATCTCTCAATACAATGGCCACCCCCACAGCTTCGTTAGTCAATATTTACCCGATCGTACATTTACATGCAAATTTCATCTCTAGCCTCTCCCACTGACCCTTGGGCTACACCCATCCCAAACCTTTATAACTCCTTACCTTAGCAGCACTCCCACTATATATTCTCAGCAGCTCTCCCGCGATATTTCTCACCTGATGACGATTGCTTGTGTTGCGATCAAGACGTTATATTGTTTTTCTTATTTGATCTATCCACGTGGCTTTACCGAAAGACCCAAAGAAGATTGGCTAGTTAGGATATACCTCACAAAATGGACACTTGGTTAAGATTAATGTGTCATTATTCATAACATTTATTATCTCTGCTGAAACAAAATTCAACTTGTGGGTAGTATAGCAGTAGCCAAAAAGGTTGAGAACCACTGCTCGATAAAGTCTAGATCTGTGTAGTGACATAGCGCCGACTGTTGGACAGCAGCAGCAACTGCAGGTGGACACTTAGCGCACACGCCGCTGAGCATATACGCGGGTGTGCTGGCAGGGCGGAGGAACTGGGGCAAGGGTCATGCTAGACCTCGTGTGGAAGCCCCTGGAACCCTCGAGAGGGTTCGAGAAGGGAGGCACGACTCGGGTGGAGCCAAGCTGTACCAAGGGGAATATAAGCATATGAGGTTTTTTGGGTTAGATCACGTAAATATGTAAATGTGTTGTTAAAACCTGGCACTACCCGACACAGCAAACTAGTAAGGGTTGTCACGTGAAGAGAACGTGCTAATTCGTCACAAGTACAGCACACCGGTATGTTGGAGAGCCAAGCCACATTTACAATCCGAGTACGACGTTTCGCCAGTAATTACAACTAGCTTCATCAGGCAACAGCCATAAATCTGAGAGGAAGGACAAGATCAAAGGGCTCGCATAATGCACATTGACTCATTAATCCCTCCCCACCCCCCCACTTTGAGCAAGAACGCACAAAATGTGGCCACCACATCTACACCTCTAATGAACAAAAGTTAGACTTCTCCACAAATCTGGCTGTCGCCTGATGAAGCTAGTTGTAATTACTGGCGAAACATTGTACTCAGATTGTAAATGTTGTGGCTTGGCTCTCGAACACACCAGTGTGCTGTACTAGTGACAAGTTGCATGTTCTGTTTATGTGACAACCCCGACTAGTTGGCTGTGTCGGGTGGTGGCGGGTTTTAACGACACCTTTATATATTTACACGATCTAACCCAAAAAACTTCTTATGGATGACATTGGTCGCGAAAGCCTACGTGTTAAGCCTGGTACATCCAGAGCTGCACCGAGCTGGCTTGGCACGGCATGGCTTCTGCAGTGGAAAAACAGCCTGGTACATCCAGAGCCTCCCCGAGCTGGCTTGGCACGGCACGGCTTCTGCAGTGGAAAAACCTGGTACATCCCGAGCCGCCCTGAGCTGGCTTGGCACGGCTTCTGCAGTGGAAAAACCTGGTACCACCCGAGGCATCCTGAACTGGTTTGACACGGCACTAATGCGTCCATGTCCTCAGTCTTAAATGTACAGTGCATGAAAATGACCACACGACTTGCATGTTTTAGCGTTTATTTTGACTGCTTCGACACATGAACAGACCACACAAATGTTTTTTTTTATTTTTGTACAAATCCGGATTGCTCCATATCACCATGACACAATGTGCTGTTACTATACAGTGTACAAACACATGCGAGTACTGAATTAAAGCGCCATTTATAGACCTTGCTCGTCTCTGTATAAATAACGATGTTGTTTTGGAAACAGGACAATAAATAACGACACCTCGGAGCCCCTTCTGAATCTGAGAATCGGAAGTCATTTTGTGCCAGTTGGTTTTGTAAAATGAGCAGGTCTGAAACCCACTTGACGAGGAGCAGCTGCTATTCCAACATCTCCGATTGCCTGTACCTCCGATTGGCACAGTTGGCTACATATGTTACCAAAGTAGTTCAACATACATACATCTCCGGCATGGCTCAGTTGTAATTGGTTGAAGCGTCACATGTGCCATTACAACGACACGAGTTAAGGCTGCTTTCGAAAAAAAGCATTCATAAGGTATCCCTGTATTGAATATGAAAATATTCCATGATACCAAGACTGAAAATGGTTTGTTAAAGAAGAACATAAGGGCTAAATCCACTCGGCAATGTGCCACTCAGCATTTTGCACGGGAGCATTCATGTTTAAGAGGAAAAAATCATGAACACGCAGTTTACAACGCAATTTTTTTTACAGGCAACCCTCAACAATTACAAAAACATTTTAAAACATGATTGTTCGCTGCCCTTAAAACAGACATCTTTCAGGAGCAGTATTTTTTAAATACACACTTTTTTTAACTATTAACCTGCCACGTAAATAAACCAAATTATGGCATTGATAGATGGTTCATTTTCAGATCGCAAACATTTTTTAAAATAGCTAACGAAATCAGTACCCAGTCATCTTTGGCTCACCACTATAAAAAAGGCATAAAACTCAAAATCGCTTTCAATGAATTCCCAGACCAAGCCTTTTGAACTTTTACATATGGCCAGCAATGCCAGGAATAAACATTTGGCTCACTGGAATCACCAAAGTGCAACGGACCACACGAAGTCTACATTTTTTCAATTGGTGGTATAAAAAATATCCACGCAGACCTGTGCTTTTTTTTCAGTAACCCACCAGGGAAGCATCTCGTAGTATTGCCACCGAAACATTTGCACCATTCGTACAAGCGGTCAAATGGCACGAAACAAGCAGCGGGAAACGAGGAAGCACAATTCACGAGGACCTTGGAAGACCAAAAAGGCATATTCATCAAGACTCATTCACAGCTTCCCAAGGGCAGCTAATCCCATCTTGCAGGAACTTTCCAGGCTTTTCAGGTGCATTTTGTTCCGACTCTCATCTTCGTCACTCGTATAAATGCTCATCAGAAACGATTTTCTGCAACAACAACAACAAAAAACGCTAAAAATTACACCATCACTGCAGCTTCCGCAAAACATGTTTAAACAATGTCAGCAAACAAGTACATTGACTTATAAATATGCATAAATATAACACTGTCCAGCTCTGCTTACAAAAATCCAATGAACTCAGCTATTATCTGTGCTTCCATTACATTCAACTCATTACACTGGTGTACAATTTTTTAGACGTCGTCTGATTCAGAGATAAAATGTGCTGTTTTTATTATGGATTTTGATGTGCTGAATTCAAATTTGACAATTGATACAACGGATTGGCTTGACTACTGTTCCCAAGATACTTAAGTTTTAACATTTTACGCCTATGTATACCGTGTAGATAGTAGAGCTTTACTCAAATTGTAAACCTAGGTCTTTTCATGTGTTTATGGTTGCTTTACACGATAACATGTTACCTATTCTTGGTTCTTTCGGTAAAGTCACGTAGAATGGAAATAATATCATCAGGTGATGATGATTGCTTGTGTTGCAGTGCAAACGTCGTGATAATTTTATTGTTTTATATGCATTATTTAATTATTTCCATTCTACGTGACTTTACCGAAAGAACCAAGAATATGAATCCCTGCAGTCACGAAAGCTTTAAATCAAAATTTACATGTTACCCATCCCGTTCATGTAACACTTGAAAAATGGTTATATAAATAAAATTTGTTATGAAACAAAAGGCTAAATCTATTATGTATATACAAGTACATACTCTTTGGTTCTTTCGGTAAAGTCACGTAGAAAGAAAATTAATTAAATAATAATAGAATACGGCGTTTCGATTGCAACACAAGCAACAATCATCAGGTAAGCATGAATGAGAAAACGTAGTAAACTTAGAAATATAATGCATTCGAAATGTCGTATTTTATTATTTACCGAAATAATCAAATAGTAATTCCTGCAGTCACGAAAGCATCTAATCTATGAGTACATTGTTTAGTTCTTATTCAGCGTCTACTCGGTGCTTCTTGGCTTGTCTCTTGTATTCATTAAATGGAGCATATCTTGCCACTGTCCAGCAATAGTCTGCTAGCATTGATGGGCTCCATTTGCTCCAATAGCGTTTCTCCATTGTTGCAATGTCCTGGTGAAATCGTTCGCCATGCTCGTCGCTCACTGCTCCGCAGTTCAGTGGTAAAAAAATCTATATGAGAGTGCAAAAAATGCAACCAATGCTTTTGTATGCCTTGATGAGGTTTTCCACCAACTCCCTGTAGTTGTCTGCCTTGCTATTTCCAAGAAAATGCGTTGCCACTAACTGGAAGGCTTTCCATGCCATCTTTTCCTTGCCACGCAGTGCACTGCCAAATGCATCATCTCGAAGAAGTTCACGAATCTGAGGACCAACAAAGACACCTACCTTTATTTAAGCTTCACTTAACCTTGGAAATTTTCCACGGAGGTACTTGAAAGCTGCTTGTGTTTTGTCCATGGCTTTGACAAAGTTCTTCATCAGACTTGGCTTGATGTGTAAGGGTGGTAACAAAATCTTCCTTGATTCAACAAGTGGTGGATGGTAAAGTCACGTAGAAGGGAAGTAATAAAATAATACAAATAAAACATAATAAAATAATTCTCACGATGTTTCAGCCACAACGCAAGCAGCAAGAACCAAGAAGATGAATCCCTGCAGTCACGAAAGCTTTAAATCGAAATGTAAGTGGTGGATGCTAAACACTTTTCCTCCCAGGCTCCAATGACTGTCAGAGTGGCCAATCTATCTTGATTTAGTGGGAATCTCTCGCACGACTATCCCATTCACAGAGAAAACAGCAGCAGTACTTTGTGTATCCAGTCTGCAGGCCAAGCAAGAGAGCAACAACCTTCAAATCGCCAAAGCTGCCACTGATGTTGGTCATAGTTGATGCACCTCAAAAGTTGTTTCATGTTGTCATAGGTTTCCTTCATATGGACTGCATGACCAACTGGAATTGATGGCAAAACATTTCCATTGTGCAGCAAAACAGCTTGTAGACTCATCTTCGATTAATCAATGAACAGTCTCCACTCATCTGGATCATGAACGATGTTGAGGGCTGCCATCACGCCATCGATGTTGTTGCAGGCTACAAGATCACCTTCCATGAAGAAGAATGGAACAAGATCTATTTGACAGTCAAGGAATATGGAACCTCGAACAACACCTGCCAGGAGATTTCACTGCTGCAGTCTAGAGCCCAACAGCTATCCCTTACTATTGAGTAGTTCCAAATCCCTGGCAAGGTCTTCCAGTTCACCTTGTGTTATGAGGTGTAGTTCAGAGGAGGAGGATGGGAGAAAATCTGGGTCATGTGACCATGATGGTTCAGGACCAGAAGTGTTATCCTCTGCGCATCCGACTCAAGTGAGAATGATTCTGGTGCATCAGGAACCGGCAGTCCTTCTCCGTGGGGCACTGGGCGTATAGCCGATGGGATGTTTGGATAATGCACAGTCCACTTTTTCTTCTTTAACACACCTTTCGCAACTGGAGGCGCCATGCAGAAGTAACAATTGCTGATATGATCCGTTGGCTCTCTCCAAATCATTGGCACCGCAAAAGGCAAAGATTTCCTTTTCCTGTTCAACCACTGGGAAACATTTGTTCCACTAGTGTTGCAGCATATGTGTGGGGCCCACATCTTGTCCTGATCTCCAATTTTGCAGCCAAAATAAAGGTGATAGGCTTTCTTAACCAGTGGTTATACTGCACTTTTGTGATGCAAAAGTCACTTCACCACAAACATAGCAGAAGTTATCTGCTTAGTCCACACAAGTGCGAGGCATCTCTGCTCACTTTGGCTAAACAGAAATGTGTCCCTTTGCAAAATCAAACACTGGCAAATAAGAGAGCACGACACTGCATGATTTCTAGAGCTGATATAGGGCAATTTGTTCAGCAGAGGGATGTAAGCCTAGTTATGATTGCATCATCCATGACTTTTAGGAATAACATAATGCAATTCAGATCATGTATGATACAATACCAGGTTCAGATTGCATCATTAATTGTTTTGCTCGAAAAGAAAGTACCGTCCAAACCCAGTCAAACTTATTCTTAGATCCAGTCAAAGATGTATTTTAGTCATTTCAAGTTTAATTTTAGACTTGAAGCTTTCGTGACTGCAAGGATTCATACTCTTAGGCTTTTTCGGTAAAGTCACTTAGGTAAAAATAAATAAAAATAATAGAAGTAATAATAGAAATAAAATAAAAATCACGACGTTTCGGAGGCAACACAAGCTTCCGTCTTCAGGTGGAATCGTCACATCACGATTGCTGTATCTTTACTTGATACAGCAATTGTGAGAATGATTCTGAAGCTTGTGTTGCCTCCGAAACGTCGTGATTTATTATTTTATTTCTATTTTTTTTTATTTCTTTTTACCTACGTGACTTTACCGAAAAAGCCTAAGAGTATATTTCCAGTTTAATTTGAGATCCCTTCCCTTTATAACTCACTTATTCTCCACAATTCCCAAGTCAAGGGTCGTATATACTGATCCAGTAGCATATCTTGAAAACTAGAGCCAATCAAAAATGTAAGCATCATTTTCATTGTCAGTGACCCAGAATTAGTAAAGTTGGACTACATTAATTTCGGAAGCATTTTGGCTGTAGACCAGTGTCATCTGTGACCCCCAATTGACCCACATACATTCCTATTCGTATGCTTTCATGGATAAGAGAAGTCACGTGTAAAATTCATACGATTATACACATTTATCCGTGGATAAGAAGCACACCCAGGAAGCAATTATTGCATCTTATCCCGAGTTCTTGTTCGCAGCCGTAGCTAAATTAATCCGATCTTCATTACGAAAGCACCACTCACCCAGCCTCCAAGCTCCTTGAGGTAGAATGCGGCGGCGTTGAACACCCGGCTCACCGTCTCTGCCACGCCATGTGCCTCAATCATGGCCCTGCGCATCAACTGGATCGTGGCCATCGCCTGCGTCTGCTGCATGGAGCACGATTGCCCATTGCCCACCAGCAACGACACCGACTGTTGTACAGCATTGCGCATCACGCCCACCAAAGCCTGCAGCAAACACATGCATCCTGACTGTTAGTCAAAAGTAAAAAGTCAGCGATTTCCTGCTAAAGTAATCAATAAGGCGGTGGCTCCTGTCCCCATTACAGCCCTGAGCCAGTGGTGTTGATTCCACGCTTCTATGAATGAGGCGAGACTATCCATAGGACTATCGCTGTTGTTTTCCCCACAAAACAGTACTTATTTTATTGACCCGCCCCAGAAGGATGATGGGTTGAATCAACCACCAACCAGGATTTACACTAACAACAATTCCAAGGCCTACAAGTAGCCGGGCATTGATGATGAAACGGCAGCAACACTGGGCTTCGTCACTCACCCATTCAACGGGTCTCTCACATGCCCAGTAGGAGCGAGTGTGTGCAGGCAGGCGTGGTGGTGAAGGTAGTATACACACCTCTTTTGTGGAGACCTTGACTATGCCACACAAAAGGTCCTGCATCTGTTCATGGGAGACCGTCATCGTCCACTTGTCCCCAATGTTCCTGAGCAGTTGTGCTGCTTCCTTTATCAATTTTTCTTGTTCTTACATGGTAAAACAAGATACACACACACACAGATGCATTTGTGCAGCACATAACGACAAGTGCAATAAATAAAAATGAAACAACAACAAAAGTTTGTTTACAATTTTTGATTTGACCTATTGACACCGACGCAAATCTGCCTACTTTTGCAAATAACGTGACACAGAGAGAACCACGTTCGCATCTCGTCTGGCAGTTTTCCACATCGTTGAACGGAGGTGCCCGAGAGACGTCACCAATAAAAAGTGGACGAAAGGGAACGTTTTCCAATACGTGGTAGAACCAAGAGTAATGGAGTCGCAGTTGTTGAAGGACCCATCCTTCCCCACAAAGCTCTCCACCGCTCTGCAAAGGGCAGTTCTGTGACGAGCGTGGCTGCAAAATTGCAGGTGCAACAGTGTCATTCTTAGGGTTTTTCGGTAAAGTCACGTAGGTAAAAACATTAAAAAGTAAAATAAAATAAAAATCACGACGTTTCGGAGGCAACACAAGCTTCCGTCTTCAGGTGGTACCGTCACAGCCACGACCAGCTGTTTTTACCTACGTGACTTTACCGAAAAAACCTAAGAATATGAATCATTGCAGTCACGAAAGCTTCAAATCTAGAATGCAACAGTGTCGCTGCATAATTGTCAGCGCAACAGCGCGGCCGCACAATGTTATCCACGGACCCACGGATGTTTTCCATGGCACGGGATCAAATCGAGATCGTCAGGCTTTACAGCGCGGTGCACTAAATCGCGGCGCCGCCGCCGCCGCTTCTCCCCCTGTATGCAAAAAGTAGTTTTGCCCGTGCATGCAATCTCTGCTCGTGTCTTCTTGTTTGCTCAACCAGGCACGTTATCATTGCGCAAACAGGCTCTTGCTTCCGTAACACAGCGTATACATCCCTCGCGCTGAAGGTCTTCATTACTGTAGTTGCTGAAAAGGCGTTTTTAAAGTCAAAGCCCAGTCAAGAGGCCTTGCCAACCGATTCCACCGAGACCACGACACCTCACGATCTGCTAGATCCTGCAACTCTTACAAAGTTTACACCTTCGAAGTCCACTCCCCTAGCATCACACAACTGGGTATCGAGGTTTTTTTTCCCTTTTCCCTGTCCGAGCTCTGGGTGCCGATCAAGTGCATGTCTTATTATTCTGCACGCGTCCTTCCTGAACACGTGCCACACCCATCCCAACCTCCACAAATTGTATCCCACGATGCTTTCTTGCCACGTGCCATTCTGAACTTTCCATTTCCACAACTCTGCTCTGCCATACAAGTCCTCGGAGCAAAACAACTGCTTCCATTCACCGATATGTAGCGGTGATATCATCGGTGCTCGTGCCGGCCTAGGTGCTCTTTGAGGCCATGTCGATCGGTGCAGACTGGATGAAACAACGTCACAGATAACACCTCGACGCTATGGGTGAATAAATTCGGGTGGTTTCGTCGATCGTCAGGTCACCTGTGGTGGGATAAAGTGTGGGCGACTCCCAAGTTGTCTGGCCAACGTGGACGAAAATGTCGACGTACCCTCTCCGAGGGCTCGCGAGGCCTCACTCCAACGGAGGCCCTTCTGCCGGCAGTGGCATGAGCAAGCTATTTGCAGGGCTGGACCCCACCCTTTGCTCTTTACCTAATGGTGGCTGGCATACACGGCCATACTGTGCATGCCAAGCGACCCTATATATCCAAAGTTCAGAAGCTTCTGCTCAATTTGCTTTCGTTAAAGTCCAATTAAATGACCTGTACAGTAGATGCGGACATTACTTCTGCCTCAAACACCCACCTCTTTTGGATGGCAAAGCGGCCCACTCTAGTGAAAGCAAGGGGGAGGCGGGGGGGGGGGATGCTTCCGACCACGTACTTCCATCATTCTTTTTGTAAGGGTGTGTGGTGGGTGGCGACATGCCCTCGGTCACCAACTCGGCATCTTTTGCACCACACAGGGAAGGGTGCCGCATGCAGAGACAATTGAATGGCGCGATGGCAAATTTCGGCCAGAGTTCTAAAACAGCCACGCGTCACGAGCGGCTTATCATCTCGAGAAAAACTTGCGCAGCGAGTCTGTTGCAGCTACGAGACTTTGGGAATGTGGATGATGTGCCTCTCTCAAACCGGTAGGTCTGTGGATTAGTGTTTGGAAGTTGCACTTGATGAGGCTGCAGAATATCAGAGGGGAGGCTTTCCACTCGGGTTGCTGCGATATAATGTTTCACAACACGACACACTCCGATATATCCTATTTCACAATAAGGCACTCAACTTAATATCGATTTCCAATAGATTTGCACCCTAATGACATTGCACGGTTGTTTTTTTTCGTATTATAATTTTTTTATTAGGCTTTACCTACTTTCTGGCAGGAGTAAAAACGGTTGACGGTTTTTTTTTTCGACTGCAGTTCAACAAACTGAAACCTGCCGCAAGCAGTGCTCATCATTGCGATTAAAAACCCTCACAATTGCGCGCTCTAACAGTGGTCGGAATTTTTTGACTTGTAACGCACCGCTGCATTGTATTAATTCGCCCACCCGCGAATATAGCAACCCACTCAGGGAGGTGCCAAGGAGGAACCACAATGGCGGAGCCAGGATTTTCAGGTAGGGGGGGGGGGGCAACCCCTCCAGCAATGAAAAATGATAGAGGAGTTGTTAGTAAGTGAGGAGTTGTCCCTTGCTTTTTATTCGAGGCGTGTGCGGCGATAGCGCAGCCATCAATCGAGGGTCGAATTCTAACCGCGTTGTGTGATCGGCATCGTGCTCGCTGAAGGTGAATGCCTTCAGGGAAGTCGTGTACTGTGTACGCAACTTGCACACAATTCTGTGAGTCACTTATAACTGCTTTGCCGTTACTTATTGCCAATTATGGACTCAGACTATTGTCTTATCATTTCATAGAGTCCCTGGCATGGAATAATATGCTACACAGTGGCAGTGGGGGTCGCAAAATGCCGAATTATTACTAATAAACCCCAATGATCCGATCGAAATTAGGGATGTCGATCGGATCATTGGGGGGCACGTGCCACCCCAACCTCCCCACTGGCTCCGCCAGTGAGGAATCAGCGACAAGGGGGAAAGACAGCAGCCATGCTGTGAGCTGGCTACACCGAGACTTTAAATAGGTTATTTTTGTCGCTCTCTCGTTAAACAAAGTTTGACACGTGTGTCAGCCAGACCAGGACAGAGTTACAGGTGGTTTCCACAAGATAAGACCTGCTCGGTGTTTGGGTTACAGCTTACTTGAAGAGACAATAACAGGGTACAGAAATGCAATTACACACAGGTCAGGGAGTTCAACTCTAACAACGCGCCACCAAAAGTTACTTTATTGAGTTCAACTCCTGGTTGGGGATTAACTCGGCCCATCATCCACCTGGGGTCGATAAAAATCAGTACCACTTTGAGTGGTGCTGCTGCACAATGTTATCCACGGACCCACTTGAGTTATCCATGGCACGTGATCCAACTGAGGTCGTCAGGCTTGACATGCAAACTCCACATTTACAGGCGTCAAAGTCGGGGTCGAACCCAAGACCTCCTGTATACCAGGCGAGGAAGTTAGCATCTCGCCACAGTGCCGTATAAGCTACGAATTCCATTGACATTGCTAATCAACAAATACTATCTGCAAATGTGACAACCTGTGAATAACACCAGTGTGTACGTGTACAGGGGACACGCGAACGGGGGTATTGGGCAGAGTAGCTGCTGGGTGTGATGAACTCTCAGTGCTGAGTCACGCGGTCAGAGCAGTACTGCGTCACTACGTGGAAATAAACCCGATCGATGGGATGGGAAACACCGTTCTGGGTTCACCAAACGCACACATCCTCTCACCCACCGCACGCACCCTTCTCTCTCCACTCACCAACCCCATTCCACTCAAAAAACACCCTCAACCCACTCCACTCACCAACCCCCACCTTACCCCCTCTCATATACTCCACAACCTCACTCGCCCACTCACCAACCCCACTCACCAACCCCACCTCGCCCTCTCACCAACTCCACTGACCAACTCCACTGACCAACTCCACTGACCAACTCCGCTCACTAACCCACCAACCCCACTCACCAACCCCACTCACCAACCCCACTCACCCTCTCAATAAATCCCCTCGTGAGCTCCTCACCAACCAACCCCGCTCACCAACCACTCTAGGTAAGGAATGGTCAGGCTCCTCCACCACGCACGGAGTCTGGGTACGAGGAGCTGCTGCTGTTTATGGTATGGAGCAGGATTTACCACCAGCATACAGTCGGCATAGTTTAGACGGACGGGAATGAATTTACAGCTTCTCGGGGCATTTTAAAAGTGAACAATGATCTCCATAGGACCTTAACCTATGTGTCCCGTGGTCGAGTCTCGTGCCCATGTCTTCGTGTCTGGTGGCCGTGTCTCTTAATTTTTATGTGCTATGAAGAAGGGCCATTGGCCGGAACGTCGTCCATTAGTTTTCCTTTCAAGGCAGTGTTACCGACTAACGTGTCGAGGTTGTTTTTGTTTGTTTCGTTATTTGCGCTTGCGCACCACCGCCGCAAACCCTTCAGCATCGCCAAATAAATCTCTTAACAGTCGTTAGCATCCATAATAAAGAGGTAATTTTTTTTGGGTAAGATCGTGTAAACCAGCCACCATCCGACAGCCGATTAGGAAGGGGTTTGCCACAACACATTCCTGCGGAGGGAGCTGGTAGGAACGTTGGGTTGCTCAGTCCATGGCCAGGGTCAACGGCGGCGTGGTGTATTCCGCAAATATGCCCGACTGTGAGGGCGGGCACAAGCCGGCGTGAGTAGGTTAAACATTGAGTTTTATAAGGGCACCACGGGGTGACCAGCGCCTCCCCACCCAGCCCCAGCCTGCCCTCCCCACCCAGCCCCACCCTCACCTCCCCACCCAGCCCCACCCCCCACCCAGCCCCACCCTCCCCTCTCCACCCAGCCCCACCCTCCCCTCTCCACCCAGCCCCTCTCCACCCAGCCCCTCCCTCCCCGCCCAGCCCCACCCCTCCCATTTCTGGATGCACCACGGACGGACACAATAATCCCCTGTGGGCTGGTGTAACCAGGAGGTTCCTACCAGTATAAACAAAACGTGCCAATTCGTTACTTGTGTAAGGGATCTGCGCGCCACCCTCATGCACACGCACCATGCAGACACGACATCTCCGCTCTCACGACAACACTCACCAATGGTCAGGGGTTAAAGGGCAGTGACGTCACCCAGACCAGGCGTGCTAGACGCGGATGTGTATTGGGAGCGGAGATTGAGGGGTTAAAAGGGGCTGTGAGACGTGTGTTTGGGGTTGGAACGAGTGTTGCCGTGCGTTTGTGCAATAAAGAAGTGCTGAAACCATTATACGACTCCTCTTCACTAGTACAGCACTAACCGGTGTGTTGGAGAGTAAACCCACAACATTTTCTTATTCTTGGTTCTTTCGGTAAAGTCACGTAGAAGGGAAATAATAAAATAATATTGTTTTATATTTATATTATTTTATTATTTCCCTTTTACGTGACTTTACCGAAAGAACCAAGAATATGAATCCCTGCAGTCGTGAAAGCTTTAAATCAAAATTTAAACCCACAACAGTTACAATTCGAGTGCCACGTTTCGCCAATAATTGCCACCAGCATCATCAGGCGACGGCCAGATTTGTCATTTGCATTTTGACACCAATCCGCGACAGGTGCACGTAGGCGAGACTTCATCTGAGCGTCAGAACGGACAGACCCGACCTTCACTTTTAAATCTTCTCTGACCATTAACGCCGCCCTAATGCCGTGACGCGCATCTCAAATTGCGAGTTTGCTCGGTTTTAAACCGGGTGAGAAGTCGAGAGACCAGTACGACGATTTTCATTTGCGAGAGTAACCCTGGGGCGTTCATGTGCCAGTCACAGGGTGGGTGGCAAATTGTGCGGTGCAAATTTGCGGCGTCATTTTAGAACTTAGTCAAATTTAGACCGGGAAGCGGGCGTCCGGGGGACTTCTTTGACATCCACTTTGAAGCAGGCGGCCGCCGGATTCGCATCCATGAACCTCTCTAACAAGGGTCCTATAAAAGGGGATTCTTGCACTGGGCCACCGTCACCAATCGATTCGCATCTACCGCTGCAGGGTGCCTACTGATACTCCTGGCGACTGTAACCCTGACGGGAGGGAGGCTCTTAAATCAGCGGGTTCAAATCCGGGTTGGGTGGGAGTTGACTTAGCCCAGGGGGGTCGGCAACCCAAACAACAAGAGGCGGCATGTTTTTCGAATTAGGTAAAAAAAAGAACCTCAATATCTCAAGAGCCCTAAATCAGTCCTTGATGAGCCGCATGCGGCTCCGGAGCCGCAGGTTGCCGAGCCCTGCCCATGGTGAACTGGACTCCCATGGTGAACTGGACTCACATGGTGAACTAGATTCCCATTGTAAACTGGACTCCCGTGGTAAACTGGACTCCCATGGTCAGGGGTCGGTAACCAAAATAACAAGGAGCCATTTTTGTTCGAATTTGAAGAGCCCGCACTGCACCCCTTAAAGAGCCACCACACGCGGCTCCGCAGCCGCAGGTTTGCCGACCCCCGACTTAGCCCATCATCACTTTCGGAGTGGATAAACAACAACAAGAATGAGCACCACCTTGTTGAGAACATCAACAGGTTGTCCTACGGGAATGTAGAGTTGCCACTACGGAGGAGACGACCACAGACAGCCACAATGTTCATTCTGAGCAAGGGCATCACACGCTTGACTTCAAAAGCCTTCACGAACGAAGCTTTAACAACTCCAGCTGGAGAGATAAACTATTTCAAGGATGTTTTTATTTTACCAGGTAAGAGCCCACCGAGCTGTTTTTATTCAGAAGTGACCAGGTCATAAATGATAGATCAACGAAATGGCTTATCGTCACGTGGAAACTTACGACAGCCACAAACTCTAAACGCGTGATAATGTTGATTCTAAATGTGGAGGGGGAAAAACAGGAAGACCCGGAGAAAAATCCACGGAACCAGAGAAAAATCCACGGGGAGAGAGAGAGACATCGCAAACTCCAAATATACAGCAGCAGGCATCGTCAGGGTCAGGATCGAACCCACGACGTCCTGTATACCAGTCGAGGTAGTTAACATCTCATTGCCAGCGTGATGATGATGATGAGAGAGACACCAAACTCCAAATATACAGCAGCAGGCGTCAGGGTCAGGATCAAACCCATGTCCCCCTTGTACACCAGGCGAGGTAGTCAACATCTAGCCACCGTGATGATGAGAGACACGCAAACTCCAAATACAGTATACAGCAGGCATCGTCAGGGTCGTGATCGAACCCACGACCTCCTGTACACCTGGCGAGGTAGTTAACATCTCATAGCCACCGTGATGATGCTGAGAGAGAGAGACACGCAAACTCCAAATATACAGCAGCAGCAGGCATCGTCAGGGTCGGGATCGAACCCACGACCTCCTGTACACCAGGCGAGGTAGTTAACATCTCCTAGCCACCGTGATGATGCTGAGAGAGAGAGACACGCAAACTCCAAATATACAGCAGCAGGCATCGTCAGGGTCGGGATCGAACCCACGACCTCCTGTATACCAGTCGAGGTAGTCAACATCTCCTAGCCACCGTGATGATGATGAGAGAGACACGCAAACTCCAAATATACAGCAGCAGGCATCGCCAGGGTCGGGGGCGAACCCACGACCTCCTGAACACCAGGCGAGGTAGACAACATCTAGCCACCGTGATGATACTGAGAGAGAGACACGCAAACTCCAAATATACAGCAGCAGGCGTCAGGGTCTGAGTCATACCCACGACCTCCTGCACACCAGGCGAGGTAGTCAACATCTAGCCACCGTGATGATGATGAGAGAGAGACACGCAAACTCCAAATATACAGCAGCAGCAGGCATCGTCAGGGTCGGGATCGAACCCACGACCTCCTGCGCACCAGGCGAGGCAGTTAACACGGAGACAGAGAAGTGGCCCCGAGTCACACGCCAGAGTGGCCCCTACCTGGGGAGGCCTCGCTACCAAACGTGGGCCCGTCAGCGTCCAGCAGCTCATCGTCGGACAGAGAGGTGAGCGAGGTGGGGGGGGAGGTCGGCGCGGCCACCCCGTTGCGGCTCGAGGCGTCCCGGGGCACGACGCCTTGGAGCCGCAGCTGCTCCACGGAGTCGTGGCTCTGCTCGGGGCACAGAGCCAGGTACTCGAGCAGAAGGCGGTGCTCGCTTGTCAACTCGGTCCTCATGGCGCTGGTTCCCCACACCCCCCGCACCTCGCTAAATCGCTCCTGCTCGAGCCTCGTCCGTGCGCACTGACACCAGCAGCACTACCACTACCACCACCACCAATCAGCACTACCAGCACCACCACCACCAATCAGCACTACCAGCACCACCACCACCAATCAGCACTACTACCACCACCACCACCACTAATCAGCACTACCACCAGCAGCACCAACAATCAGCACTACCACCACCACTAATCAGCACTACCACCACCACCACCAATCAGCACCACCACCACCAATCAGCACCACCACCACCAATCAGTACTACCACCACCACCAATCAGCACTACCAGCACCACCACCACCAATCAGCACCACCACCACCAACCAGCACCACCACCACCAATCAGTACTACCACCACCACCAATCAGCACTACCAGCACCACCACCACCAATCAGCACCACCACCACCAATCAGCACTACCACCACCACCAAACAGCACTACCAGGGGCAGCAACACCACCACCTCGCCCTCTCTCTGAACTTCCTTTCCCGACTTCAGTTTCGGTGCGCGCAGACTTCGCGGTGCCCCGCGTGCCGCTCTCGACGACACCACCGTCCCGTCCGCCGCAGTCGTGTGGACTCGTGTGTATCGCGCTGATCTCGCCTGTACAGTACTCAACAAAGTGGGTTCCCCCCCACCACCACCACCCCACCACCACCACTCCACCACCCCACCACCACCACTCCACCACCACTCCACGCGCAGTGCCGAGCACCGGTGTCGCAATGCGGCAGTGGTAACGCCGCTCACATTTATAGCCACGTGGCTGTTGCCCCCCCGTGCCCCCACCTACCCCCCGTGCCCCCACCCACCCCCCGTGCCCCCACCCACCTCCCGTGCAACCACCCACCCACCCCCCGTGCCCCCACCCACCCACCCACCCCCCGTGCCCCCGCCCACCCACCCACCCCCCGTGCCCCGCCACCCACCCACCCCCGTGCCCCGCCACCCACCCACCCCCGTGCCCCCACCCACCCAACCCCCGTGCACCCCCCCACCCACCCCCTGTGCCCCCAACCCCCGTGCCCCCACCCACCCACCCCCGTGCCCCCACCCACCCACCCCCGTGCCCCCACCCACCCAACCCCCGTGCCCCCACCCACCCAACCCCCGTGCCCCACCCCACCCACCCCCCGTGACCCGACCCACCCACCCATCGAGGCCGAGGCGAGACCGGGGCATGCCCGTGCCGCGTGCCCGTCACGTCCCCGCAGGGCACCGCTTAAGTCGCCTTCTGCGTTCCAGAAGCTTCTCCCCCTGCGCTCGCCACGTGCCCAGATTGTGCAACTCGCTAGGCCTCGGCAAGGTAAGGTAAAAGTTAAACGGTAAAAAAACTAGATAAACTTTACCCTACCTTTTACCTTACCACAATACAATCGCGCTACCCTACCTTTTACCCTTGAGCAGGTAAGGTAAAAGGTAAAAAAAGAACGAGTCCTACCTTTACCTTACCTTTTACCCTTATCCCATACAAATTTCGCGATTACAGGGTAATTACTGGGGTAAAAAACATGGAATTTGTGACTGCAGGGATTCATCTTCTTGGTTCTTTCGGTAAAGTCACGTAGAATGGAAATAAAATAAGAAAAATAAAACATAATTAAATAATTCTCACGACGTTTCGGCCACAACGCAAGCAGCCGTCCTCAGGTGAAGACCAGGTCTGTCGGGGAGACAGCGTCTGAATGAAACAGCACCATTCTTGGAGCGTATATTTAATCTGGGTTGGAAGGGGGGGAAAGGGCGCCTTGACATAAAAAAAATTGCATATCAAGAGGAATTTAGCATATTTATGGGAAATGCAGGTATGTGATTAGTACTACTTATGCCCGTGCATTATGCAGGATTAGCAGCATCAAAGGGAGGGGATATGGGAAATGCAGGTATGTGATTAGTACTACTTATGCCCGTGCATTATGCAGGATTAGCAGCATCAAAGGGAGGGGATATGGGAAATGCAGGTATGTGAATAGTTCTACTTATGCCCGTGCATTATGCAGGATTAGCAGCATCAAAGGGAGGGGATATGGGAAATGCAGGTATGTGATTAGTACTACTTATGCCCGTGCATTATGCAGGATTAGCAGCATCAAAAGGAGGGGATAGGGGTAGCATTAATAAAGGGAAGGAGTGTTAATAGTATGTAGCTGCAGTAACTAAACCCACCACGTAAACAACTAAAGTATAAACTACATAGTATCATCAGTATACTAAATATACTCTACAATAAGATGAGTTACTAACAGTAATACATTGCAATTCTACGTCGTAAAAATATAATATGCTTCCATCTAAACTTTATTCTCTTACATCACACGAGTCTACACCGTACTATATACTGCCATAGACAAACCCAACATTAAATTATATACTGTATTGCTATAAACCACACAAACTCCACTCAACATCCTGGCACCAGACAAACTCCACTCAACATCCTGGCACCAGACAAACTCCACTCTACATCCTGGCACCAGACAAACTCCACTCAACATCCTGGCACCAGACAAACTCCACTCTACATCCTGGCACCAGACAAACTCCACTCTACATCCTGGCACCAGACAAACTCCATTCAACATCCTGGCACCAGACAAACTCCACTCTACATCCTGGCACCAGACAAACTCCATTCAACATCCTGGCACCAGACAAACTCCACTCTACATCCTGGCACCAGACAAACTCCACTCTACATCCTGGCACCAGACAAACTCCACTCAACATCCTGGCACCAGACAACTCCACTCTACATCCTGGCACCAGACAAACTCCACTCTAACATCCTGGCACCAGACAAACTCCACTCACATCCTGGCACCAGACAAACTCCACTCTACATCCTGGCACCAGACAAACTCCACTCTAACATCCTGGCACCAGACAAACTCCACTCTAACATCCTGGCACCAGACAAACTCCACTCTACATCCTGGCACCAGACAAACTCCACTCACATCCTGGCACCAGACAAACTCCACTCTACATCCTGGCACCAGACAAACTCCACTCTACATCCTGGCACCAGACAAACTCCACTCTACATCCTGGCACCAGACAAACTCCACTCTACATCCTGGCACCAGACAAACTCCACTCACATCCTGGCACCAGACAAACTCCACTCTACATCCTGGCACCAGACAAACTCCACTCTACATCCTGGCACCAGACAAACTCCACTCTACATCCTGGCACCAGACAAACTCCACTCTACATCCTGGCACCAGACAAACTCCACTCTACATCCTGGCACCAGACAAACTCCACTCTACATCCTGGCACCAGACAAACTCCACTCTACATCCTGGCACCAGACAAACTCCACTACATCCTGGCACCAAACTCCACTCTACATCCTGGCACCAGACAAACTCCACTCTACATCCTGGCACCAGACAAACTCCACTCTACATCCTGGCACCAGACAAAACTCCACTCTACATCCTGGCACCAGACAAACTCCACTCAACATCCTGGCACCAGACAAACTCCACTCAACATCTGGCACCAGACAAACTCCACTCTACATCCTGGCACCAGACAAACTCCACTCAACATCCTGGCACCAGACAAACTCCACTCATACATCCTGGCACCAGACAAACTCCACTCTACATCCTGGCACCAGACAAACTCCACTCAACATCCTGGCACCAGACAAACTCCACTCTACATCCTGGCACCAGACAAACTCCACTCTACATCCTGGCACCAGACAAACTCCACTAAACATCCTGGCACCAGACAAACTCCACTCTATATCCTGGCACCAGACAAACTCCATTCAACATCCTGGCACCAGACAAACTCCACTCTACATCCTGGCACCAGACAAACTCCACTCTACATCCTGGCACCAGACAAACTCCATCATCCTTGGACGGACGACAGGCAATAAGATCCCGCGCCGCTCCAGCCCAGTTAGACGGAACCTTCAGGCAGCCGGCCGTGATCCATGAGCGCAAGCACATGGACTTATGAAGAGCGTCGTTGACAGCGACTGGTGAAAGCATGTGAACTCCCGCCTGGCTCCGCTATTCGCACGTTCACAGGGAGTTGACGTCGCCGGCGCTCCCAAGTAGTCGCAGGCCATCTTGTAGTGGGCGGGGAGCAGCTCTTTGCGGAGAAACCACCACTGCATTACGTCAATGAAGGCACTGGCGGTCGTGACGCCCCTGCTCATAAAACGATCGACTTCATCGCCGTCGTCTATGGAGTTGCCGACGTTGTTGAACAGGGTGCTGAACAGCGACCGCTCCTCCATATGGGCAGCAACTGCCGTCGGCGAGATCGCGAGCACGTCCGAGTAGCGATGCTGCAGGACAGAGCGGATTGTGGCCTTCAGTGTAGCCAGCTCGTCTTGGTCTGTCGTTTTCGGCAGCTGTGGATTCAAGTAGGATGTCACAATGGCGGGTTCCTGAACCAGGAAGTCGTGGTACTGCACCAGCTCGGCCTTTATCCCCGTCGCAGTCAAGGGCTCATCGATCGCTCTAAGGGCGGCTTCACCGTGATCGCAATGACGGACGAGGTGCTCCATCGTCACCGGCACGAGATCCAATGTAGATTTGTGGTCCGCCGACAACGAGGCCATGACCTGGCACGGCATTCGCAGGAATGCTGTCACGTCCTCGATGTTTGCCAACTGCAGTTCAGATAAAGCACCGACACCGATCACATCCTGGAAGCGCGCCATGATAATGTCCAATGGGACACGCTTCTTGATGGCGTCGTCGCCCATGTCAAACGTCGAATGCCACCTGGTCGGCGAGTCCTGGTGCGTCGGCTCCTTGCTGGCGAGCTTGGCAATCTCAGCCTCGCGGCGGTACGACTGCCGGACGACCTTGCTGCACCTGATATTGACGAGCGCCTTGCGCAGTTCGGCATTTGTTGACTTGATCAGTTTTAGAACTTGGACGACACCGATCTGGACGGAATGATCCGCACATCAAATATGGTGGCAAGCCCGCAACTGCTCATATCCGGCGTCCACATTGACCAGGGCGAACAACGTCTTGACAGCACTGTTCGCATCGGAGCCATTGTCGCTGGTGACAGCGAGCAGCTTGGTCGAGATATTGTGCCCGAGGCTTTGGAGGTGCTCAAACAGAGCAGCCCCAATGCGCTTGCCGACACCCCTTCCGGACTGCACATCGAGGATTGTCAGCAGCATGGATTTTGACGCACCAGATTTGCTGTCGATCCAGTGCACCGTGACCATCCAAAATCCCTTCAGGTTGCGGTTTGATCACCCGTCGATGGTGAGCGAGATGGCGACGTCCAGGTTGGAGAAGAACGCCCCAAAGATGGGCAGCATGATGGCGTGATGCTCGGCAATCCTGTGAATGATGGTGCGGGTCGATGGGCCCTCGTATCCCTGCGTCAATGTGTTGACCAAGGTCTTGAACTTGTCGCTGCTGGCGGCTCGCAAAGAGATTGCACCTTGGATAACAAAATCCACAACCGCGTTCTCAAACTTTACCAGGAGGCGATCCGGGATTGCTGGCCGGCTCAGCGTTTGCTGTATTAGGCGGCTCGCTGACGCCGACGTCCCGACCTCGCTGCCTGGGGCGAGCACGTTGTGTTTCTTGAGGTGGGCTTTCCACCCCGACGCGTTCGTGTGGGTGGAAAACCACTTGTGGCAGTGCACGCACTGCCGCTTCCCTTGCTGTGCATGCGGATCACCCTCCATCCAATCGTGTGTGTGCTCCCACGGGAACGCATACCGCTGCCTCTTTCGATTGCTGTTCGCAGCAACCCCAAAAAAGCCGTTGCTGGCATCCTTGTCCTCTAGTACCTCGACCTCAAGAACGTGGACCGTCTCCATGTGCTCCGCCATCACTTTAAAATGGAGGCCACGGACTGCTTCACTGCGCCACGGAACTTTTAGCGGTAAACAAGGTACTGTATTTACCGGGTAATTATTCGCCCTGCCCTTACCCTACCGGGTAATTCTTCTGAGCTACCTTTACCCTACTCTTTACCTTACCCTTTACCCTTTTACCCGGTAATAAAGGTAATTTACCTTACCTTGCCGAGGCCTACTCCGCCCTCCCCAGCCGCCGCCTGTCGCTGCGTTTTTCGATCGAACAAAAATACCTCGCCCCCCTCCCCAGCGGTTGAAACATTCCCAGATGTCCATTGGAGACCCAAGCATCATCGCACGCCTCTTTAAAAGGGACTCCTCTACTTACGAATGAGTTAGGTTCCAGAGGTCTAGATTTGAAACTTACCTAAGAGTATGAATTCCAGAGGTCTGTTTAACACGCAGTTGGCTTTTGCGACCAATATCATCCATAATATAGGGGTGTTTTTTGTTAGATCGCGTCGCGTAAATATATAAATGTGTCGTTAAACCCGCCACCACCCGACACAGCCAATTAGTAAGGGCTGTCATTTAAACAGAACATGCCATACTCTTTGGTTTAATTCGTTACTTGTACAGCACACCGGTGTGTCGGAGAGCAAATCCACAACATTTACAATCTGAGTACGACGTTTCGCCAGTAATTACAACGCGCATCATCAGGCGGACAGCATCATCAGGCGAACAGCCAAAACAAACGATATTATTCCAGAGGTCTGTTCGTACGTCGATTTGTTCGTAAGTCCAACTTTACTCATGTCGACTCCAAACATGGTGTACGGCGTGTGCACCAAACACGTGTAATGACGACTTGACACACTCGTTTTGAGATGGTTTCTTTATTGAAGAGACACGTTCACTTGAACAGGGAGATACCCCGCTGCAACAGCCCCGAGTCACCCGCGCATCTCCCTTTTATATACGGACCACGACCCTCTTTCCGAACGTTCTCGCTGGCTCTAGGCCGTTCGCTCTACCAGCAGACTCTACCGTCCTCTTCCGTCACCTGTCCACGCTCCTATTCTCAATCATTCCCGTAGCCATTAGTCCCTTTGCACTATAGGCTGACTCCCCTGTCATTACCTCCCGTGGCCACTAGGCCGTTCGCACTGCAGGCTGACTCCCCCTGTCATTACCTTCCGTGGCCACTAGTCCACTCACACCGCAGGTTGACTCTACTGTCATTACACACGGGGAGTGGCTTTAAAAGTTGTAAAATCTCCTATAGATGTAAATGCCACTGGTTCTTCACGTTCTGTAGATGTAGATGCCACTGGTTCTTCACATTCTGCAAATGTAGATGCCACTGGTTTTTCACGTTCTGCAGATGTAGATGCCACTGGTTCTTCACGTTCTGCAAATGTAGACGCCATCACCGCCGTCTATTGCGCGGCGGTTGAACTTACGACTCTCGGTCCGAACAGGCAACTGGGCGTACGGGACAGGTTTGTAGTTCTGAAAATTCGTAAGTCGAATGTAAGTAGAGGAGTCTCTATATTGACTTTGATATTCCTTCTCGAAGATACTGGTATAAACCATGGTACGTATGTTGAACATCTTTCGCACCCAACGTGCTGATCGGAGGTGCAGGGGAAGGACAATAAATTACGCACACAAAAAACAGCTCCAACGAAATGAGTTTTAAATCTAGATTTTTTTTTTAAATGAATCAACCGCATCGGAACATCAACAACAGGCTGATTGCTGCTGCACCACATCTCCTTCACAAATGACAACATTTAAAACGTGCTGCCCCCCCCCCCCCCCCAAGTCGTGCCATTGTGGCCGTGCGACCCAAATTATGGACCGCAACTTAAACCCACTGCGGTGTGCGCTCCTCCAACGAGAGGAGTAAGAACGACGACGCAAACTTTCTCTCCCGAAAGCCCCCTTCGGCGTGGCTCAGCCGAGTTCAACATTGGCACTTGGCTCCAGAACACGTCGTCCTCGTTGTTACACCGTGCTGCCAATGTGCAAGAATGAGAATCAAAACGCACCGTGCGTCACGAGATCCGCGGGGTAAGGAGACCAACTTGTGCCTTCATTTCAAAGAGGGTTTTCCCATTGGTGGTGGTCGTAGTTATTTATGCTTTACTGCAAGCATCAGGCATGGTGCATTTCAAAACACGCACACAAGACACGTGTACAAAAACAACAGCAAAAAGAAACACGGCCTTTGTGCATTGTGCCAATATCTTTCATGATCAGTTTCCGTGTGGTCCTCCATTCATAGGTGGCCATCAACATTACAATTGAGAATATAGTGGCCAATTGACGACAGTGAGTGATAGAGAGATTGGCATCTGTAGAACTTCCTGCCAGTCAGCTAGTCACATCTGCTCACATTTATTTTCTGGCAACCTAAATTAAGAAAAGCCCAAATGTAGTCCTTCCGAAGCTGAGTTTTTTTTTACAAGTGTAGTGAGTGACTTCCGAGACACGTTGAGTCGAAGGCTTCTTATTTATTAAGAGCACACTGGGCGATACATTGTGTAACGCAGCTCCACCGAGGCGATCCTAACACGTAGCCCCATCTCCGGCTACGCTACGCAAGCTGTTCGACCAGCACAGCGACGGCGACGGACAGAGTCTTCCAGAAGATCAGCCACGTGGTCGGAGACGAACAGATGACGACGAACAGCGAAGCAGCCACGACCCAGGACCCGTAACAGCCACGAACCTCTGGTTCGGTCCCCCTTATATCTGTCCCGGCTGCCGCCAAGCTCCACCTCTGGCCACACCCCCTTTCCAGAACCTTCTAGCTTGTTCCCAGAGCTTCTCGACCGACTCCGCCTTTAACCTTTACCCCAGATACACCCTCCTTATAATCAGGCATTATGTAATGCAGCTATGACCGTAATTACCACTCACGGCCGGCAGGTGTCACCCTGTCATTACACAGGTGTTCTTCACGTGCTTTCATGGTTTTCCAGTCTGCACTCTTGTTCTGTTACAATGTGGTTTTATCGTCATCGTTTACAGACAACAATAAAGATGCGGTGAGCATCTTTATTGTTTTTTAGTGTTAACTTTGTTTATTCTCTGAAATTTCCATAAGCAAACGTACACAGACGAAAATAAATATCCAAATTGTTTTAATTACTGTATTTACTGTACCGTATTTACCACCCCAATCCCGAAGACTATATATAATAATATCATTAAGACTATATATGGGGCGACGGACATACGTGCAGTATTTTCATTGTTTAAGCTGTATGTATGTAGTGTATAATGCGGAGATTATATTTGACATTGAAATCAAGCGTAGCTACTTTTGTTTTTGGTCACGCACACACGGTGCCGATCGCCGGACCGTGCCACAGCCTTTGGAACGGTTTAGCCGGATCGGCCCGTGACCGCCAGATAATCGCTGTGCCTGTCAATCGATGATCGACTGGATGTGAACTTTAGGCATTGTCAGTTTCCGAGACTAGGCTTTGGTGTCTTTAATTCTCAAGTTGATGGACCCGCAATGGATCCGTAGATCGGGCAACGAGAGACTTGGGTGTGGGCCTTTTGACATTCGCTCGATGTGCCTCCAAATTATAGCAGTCAACTCCGAAAAAAAAGCACGACAGTTTGTCATTTGTGCGCGATGCATTTTAATTGGAAATGCCGTACACACACTGTACTTGTGCCTCTGAATCAGAAGGCATTTTTTTAATATAAATGTTATTTTTTATAAAAGCATGAAAAATGATAATCGTAAAAAAACACATTCACCATCAACCACCACCCACTCTTCTTCAACATGCTCACATTTTCAAGTGTAAAACATACCAATGACATTCTCACCAATTTGTCACCCGTGTTGAATCCATTGGCTAAGTACAAACTAAGTTAAACATTCGATATGAAACATTACTAGTTTTCTTTTTTGTACTTTTCAAATAAACGAAAAGTCTTCATCCCTGAAAATGTTATTCTCTTGTATTAAATTTGCTATTCACTTGCATAGATGCTATTAGAGTTGGGCAAGATGTGAAGAAGAATAATGCTCTAGTTTTATATACGAGGTGGATGGAAGTTGAACGTGTACTCCAAGCCATTCATCCACAAGTCTGGTAGCAAGAGCAGAGCTGTCAACCCATACGGTTTACCCCACATTCTTGTACAGGGAAATTGAGTTTGCAGGTCCATACGACGTACAGCCGTTTCAAAACGTGCAAAAAAAATCGATTTGTTTGTGTTTCTCCCTCGTGATGGGACTTTATAGGATGAACATTGAGATTTATAAGGGTCACCTGGTGACCAATAAGGTCTGAATTGGTCTGTAATTAGGCAGAGCACTGGTATGGAATAGGGCATTCTTAGCAAACTGTACTCTGTGAGGGGGTCACATTTTACGACTTCAACACAATTCACACATATAAAACAGATCGCAAATTCAGCTCAACAATTTCGCAACTACCTCATTAATGCCCAACACACTTTACACCAATGCAGTGCAATGCATTGCAATTGAACACGTGCAGCATTTCAGCGTTCTTCCCCTGGGTTATTAAAGCACGTGTAAAGTTCATTTTTGTTAGTTGCCGTTTCCGTTCTTTTTGGTTGAACATTCGTTCCATCAACATCGTAATCCAGTTTTAACATTTACCAACACTTGCACAATTACCCAACACAAAAGTGGAACCTTCATGCATCGATAACCGAAGAGAGAAATAATTTAATAAGCCCACACCAATTAAAGCTAATTAAATATGCATCGCCATTGTGGGATAAAAGTCAACGGTTAAGTTTGAGCGAATTTGACGACTTAATAATGCTGCTGACAGCCCTTCAAGAAGTATGCCGAGAAACACGTTTCGGGATATTTCGCCTCACCGTTGCGGATGCGAATTAACCCGAAATAGCGGTGGCTACGTTCCAAATTATACTCCTGAAAATTGAAGCAACATGTGGTCATATTTAAATAACGCTTTGATAAAACAGCGATAATCACAATATAATTGGAGGCATTTCCCATGGCCGTGTTTGCCATGGTGGTGGGGGAAAAGAAAATAGAAACGTAAAAATGCTCCACTCATCGATGGATTCGGCTATAACGCTGGTCTCGTCGATCACCGGAGGTGATGGATAAAGCACAGCCTCAGTGTCACAGAAACCTTCGTCCGATTGTCACTTTTGGGGTCATTCGTCACAGCCTCGACGTAAAACAACAATAAGTATAACCCAGAAAAACAAAGTTTTTCACTATAAATCCTTTATATGCGTGGCGGCTAGAGTCCTCTCGTCCTCTGGCTTGAGATGGCTGCCACCTATGGGTCAGATGATTGCATTGCACCATTAAGCAATTGGTAATTAAATATAATATTTTTGTCCTAAAAAGTGTAAAATTTTTGAGAAAAAAAATTCACGAACATTAATTGTCACGCACAACGAGTCTGTGTGGAAAATGTCAGCTCGATTGGATCACGAGAAGTGGGTTAAAAAACGACCGAAAGATTTGCACGGTCCTAAGCAAGCAAGCGAACTTAATATAAAGGATTTAAAAATACGACCGACAGCGGCGTCGCAGAGTTCGCAAACTCATTGCTCCGTGCAATACAGTATTTATTTTAAAATTATATTACACCCATATGCCACGTACAAACGCATTCAAACATTATGTTCAGTAGTAAACTTAGTATTAAGGCACGGACGACTAATAGCACGGAAGATCCCAACAACGTTCAAAACACAGGCTGTATTAGTTTTTTTTTTACGAGTTTCAGTGGCATGATCCGCATTCACAGTGTCCCGTTGAAAACAATTTCAAGTAAAAAGGCCTCTGTCCCTGCAGCAGTTTTTCCTTTAGAAAAATTAAATCGATGTAAGAATTCCCACAAACGCACCGTGGACATCACCGAGGGCGCGGCAACTCGGTACGCGCTGGTCGGAATTAACTTGAACTTTTTAGTAAAAACATGGCTTCCCCGTGAATGTAAAAAGAAAATTACAAAATACAAGTTTGACAAAACTTTGGTTCATTCCCTCGGAGCATTATGTAGGAGCCTTGGCATAAAAAATGCAGCCAAGTGAACACCAAATTCGATTATAATTATCTAACAAAAATAAATCGTCACAGCAGCAGGTTGATTTGCATTAAAATATTTGGGGGTCCTCTCTCATCACATCCGGTCAATGTGCCGCATATCCATGAAGCGCGTCCCATCACTTAAGAAATTTGTCAACGCTCGGCACCGCCATGGCCGGCGGCTCACTGGCACGCGGCATCGGCACTCGGAGTGTCACGGCTGTTCTCCTAGAACGCGGTGGTGGTCCCGTTTCCTGAGGAACACCGCGCGTTATGGAAAAATCTCGCGTTAAAATAACTAAACACATGTCAGAGGGTAAAGCACGGTCGGCGATGACGTGCGAGATGCGTACGCAGGCCGAGCCAAGACTGAGGAGCGTGGGTAGCATCTAGAAGCATCCAGCAGTATCCCGCCCTATGAGACGCTACGCAGAGGCAGCCGAACAACCGCTTACTCCTACCTCGCGTTAGATCCAATTCGCATCCGCGTAGTGAAAAAGTGTTCCCGAGTACATTCATCGCGTGATATCCAATTCACGTGGTGAAAACAACACGTGTTTACAGGAGAACAGACTGTACGTCCATCGCTAACCGTTGCAAGAACGGCACAGCGGGGGCGTTGAAAACATGTGGAGACACCAAGGTGCCAAAGCATCTGACCTCGGTGTTCCCATCACCAGTGATACATTTTCCCTCCGACAAAGGCATGCATATATACATAGTGCACTAACAGGAGTGTTTTCATCCCATTTGTGAAAACTTCAGTCGACTTCGTACTCCGAGACGCTGTCGGGATCCAAAATGTTGTGCTGCGGGGAAGAAAAACGGATTTATTTTTTTGGATTATTATTTCTTTACAACTTTTCACACCGGTTGGCAATGAGCACGTTCAAATTGTGATCAACACCAAACTTGGCCCGTTCCGCTGGTCGGCTGACATTAGCATCGATTATTCTGGAAGCATCGCTACAGGAATTACTAATATGAGCCAAGTGTGTGTGTGTCCCGCACGTGACGTCACTCCACATGAGCCCCCCCCCCACCCCTCATTAATAATCATGAGCGGGTGACGTCACTCCACATGTCGCACCCCTCCCCAATAACCATTAGCGGGTCACGTCACTCCACATGGGGCAACCCCACTCTTTAATAATTAATCATGAGCTTAACAATTTTTCTATTATTTCAGATTTACTGCAATAAACACCCGTCCTTGGACGGGCAAACAAGCTAGTGGTGTAATAATTCCACTTTGTCTGCAACTACGTGACAAAAATGTGAAGGGTGCATTGCTAACGAGAAATAACGCTAAGTTACACTGATGTACAATATATCGACACCATCAACGTACCTCCGACAGAAATAAGATGTCCTAGTTATGGACTAGTTGATGAACTTGCTACCAGAGTCAATGAGAGTGAGATCCATGATTCAACTGACAGGTGGACGTATTATTTGCGTTATTTACGCTTCGTTACCCAGGAAAGCCTGTTAAATGTTCCCCCAGTGGAGGACAATAATTGCTATAAAGTTTATAGAGTAATTTGTGGGGCTTTTATTTATTTGCTTAGCAAGTTTGGACCATGACACCGGCACAGCATGCCCTACAAACAAACAGAAAAAAATCCTCATCCCTGAAAATTGAATTTTCTTGTACTAAATTTGCTATTCACTGTGCATAGATGCCATTGGAGTTGCGCGAGATGTGAAGAATAATGTTATATTTTTGGGAATCGGGTTAGGCAATTCAAGAAGGTGCGAGGCAGATGCCCGAGTTCGATTCCCGATCACGGCCAACACCAGTGACCATTATTCGAACCGGCCCTGGCCCTCTCCTAGGTCGACTCACCCTCAAATGAGCACCTGGTGCACGGTGTAAACATTGCCACTGGGGAGATAAAGGCGGTCGGGCGTGGTCTTGGCCACCCACCCCCCTTGATCACTAACGGCACTTGCTCCAACATCCTGTTAAGGCTATACGGTGGATATGCGCCGGATCTTTAGGGCTGTCCTGACATTTGGGCCACCCTGCACCTGCCGTGGGGTGGTGGTGGGGGACGGTCGTGGGGGGGGCGTCTCAATAATGGACATCGATGAATACTTTCTAGACGTTGGTCGTACGCGTGTGCGCGCGCGTGCACATGGCTCACCCAGCCGCCCTGCTTCATAATCCACGGCGAAAACCTCTCCTCCAGGTACTGAGCTCCGAAGCCCATGATCCTTGTCACCGCCCGCTGGTTTATTCCAGCCATCCTCTTGGTCAGGTCCATCGCCAAGGCGATCTGCAACACCTCCGGCGGCCGCACCGATGCGTCGCTACCGGGCGTCGGCTGCCGGGCCACCACCGGGGCCACCACCGGGGCCACCACCGGAGCCACCACCGGGGCGACCACGCTCGAATCGACGACGTCCGTGGCGGGAGATTTGTTGGGAGTGGCGGCGGCAGCGGCGGCGGCGGCGCGAACGTGGACCGGGCGACAGACCTCCGGGCTGGGGGTGGTGTCCTGCGTCTCGGCCGTGATGTACGCGTTGATGAATTTGCAGAAGAAGATGTAGGAAATGCTGCGCAGGTCCACGTCCTGTTGGATCTGCAACGGTAGCCGTCGTCGGGAAAGAGAGAAGTGGAAGTTTATTATGATTGTCATGGTTTAAATGTTGCCAACGCAATGAGAGTTGAGTGCCGCTCGCTCCCTTGTCCCGCACCTCCGATTAGCGCGGTCGGTTACGCGCGTTGCGAAGGAATTTCAACATACGTATATTGTTCCCCCTAAGTACATTCGTTTCATAGGCTATAAAATTAGTGCATTCCGAGCGCAGCATTGAGGGTGAAGAGGGAACAAAGGAGAGTGAGTTCCATTCCGAGTGGCAGCACAAATACATTCCTGAGGTTGTATCACCAGCTTTCACCTGCATGCATGTATGTTGAACTTCTTTTGCACCATACGTAGCCAACCGTCGGAGGTGCGGGCGAAGGCCAACAAACCGAACAAACCGAACACACGTATAGCCTAGACAGACTGTTGGGGCAAGTGCTGTTAGCGAGCACCTATGAAGGCCGGAACGGTACAGGAGGGGGTGAGTGGCCAGCACCCCGCCTGACCGCCTTTGTCTCCCTAGTAGCAATGTTTACACACCGCACCAGGTACTAATTTGAGGCTGAGTCAACCTAGGTGAGGCCCAGGTACCGGTTCAGATAATCGTCTTCGGTGTTGGCCGTGAGCGGGAATCGAACCCGGGTCGCCGGGTTCGTAGCGCAGCGCACTAACCGCTGCACTACCGCACACGCGAGTGCTGTTATAAGAGGGCACCTGCGAAGGCCGGCACGGCACGCGAGGTGGAGGTGGTCAGCACACCATCGGATACTCGTCTAAGGTTGATTCCACCAAGTCGAGGCCCGGAATTGATCTCGGTTTGGCGGGCTCATAACAGCGCGCTAAAACCGCTCTACAACCTCCCCACCCACCCACGCGGACACACACAGACATACACAGACATACACATCTTTATATATTCATGAAGCATTCCTGCACTGTATCCACCCGAGCTAGGTTATGAAACTGGTTTTCCAACACTGGCCAATCATTCCTGTTTAGCCACATTCATTGCCCTATTTTTTTCACCAACGCCCTTCACATTTACAAAATCCTCTGCACCATGTGCTGCTGCTGCTGTCTGCCTTGAAGTTTTGGATACGATGATAATTAAGTTTTGTGTAGGCCTTAAGCTAAGGCCACCGCCAAAACAACGGCCTACTATTGCCCATATTTATGGCTTACGAGTGCGAAACATTCCCTATTACAATACGTAAATCACGAGCGTCGTTGTGGAGAATACAAGTAACAAAAACAGGCAGAATGTACGCCTTCATCATGTATCATGTCGTACGAAGGAGCCATTTGTCACGGCGATACACTCCATGACTCCGTACCTCAAATGTAAAATTGTAGCTGCCGCTCTCCATAAACATGAGCCATTAACAAAGAAGGCCCGAACGAATACATTACAAAAGGTCGCACTCATTACACACAAAAGCTCTTGCCACAAATCAACCACAATGCCTTTCTAATCTGGTCGAGCATAAACCACCATCACCACGCGACGCTCCGGTCGTCATCCTCGCAGCGGTGGCGGCTTTTGGCTAAAGCCATCGAACAGAGACGGTCACCTGCATCGTGCAGCGCTTCCAAACGCGCTTCTGCGGCCCTCTGGAACGCTCCTGCCTTCCGATATGAGGAAGCCACTGGAGCTATGCACTTTTAAATCCAGATTGAAAACTCGTCACTTTAGAATAGCTTTTTGCGTTTAGTTTGTTGTCCTTCCCCCGCACCTCCGATTAGCACGGTGGAAGGGCCTTCACTATTGATGCCCCCAGGGTCTGGAATGCTATTGCCAATAAATTTCAACTTGAGTCACTACCTATGAGATCTTCACTCAAAACTGCTCTAGAGGAGTGTTACACCCCTAGCTGCCAGTGCTATTCAGTGGCCTAAAATAAAATATTTCGCTCCGGATGATCGCTGCAAAATATGACCTGTGTTTTGATTTAGTGTGCTGATCTTAAAGGTGCATTGAAAAATTATGATACTCCGACTGATGCTCCTGCTGTTGTGGAGTGACTCATGCAGCCAGCTATGGCTGCAGGGTTTTGGTAGTACATGTTGTTTATGTCGTTTATTGTGAAAATTCCGTCACAGTTCCTATGATCACTGTTTCATTGCTTTCATGGCTTTATTTTGGTGATTTCGAAACGTTTTTTGGTTTGGCCATGTTTGTTTGTTGTAGTACGGAGTAAGACTGATGGCCTTAATCTAAGTTGTCTTGTGGTTGTTGTTTTTGACTTGCATCCCACTGGGATTTGTGCACACAGCGTTGGTGTACGGTGTTTTTTCTGCAATATTTTGCTGTCTTTTCTTGGATTTTCTGTTTGCACTTAGTCACATATTCACTTTAAGGTGTTTTCTTGTTCATGTTTTAGTTTTTTGTTTGTTGCGGTTGCACCCGATTCAAGAGCCGAATGGCTCACAGGGCTATACCTAATAAATGAACTTGAAATGAACTTGAAACTTGAACATATGTAGGTCAAATCTGTAAACGATGACGATAAGACCCCCATTGTGACAGAAGAAAAGTGCAGGCTGTAAAACCATAAAAGCACGTGACTAACACGTGTAAAACAAACTCAGCCTGTGTGTGTTGTGCAAAAAAACATCAGCTTCGGAAGGACTGCATTTGGGCTCTTCTTGATTTAGGTCACCACAAAGTAAATGTGAGCAGATGTGTCTAGCTGATCGGCAGACAGCTCTACGGATGCCCACCTCTATCACTCACTGCCGTCAATCGGCCACTATATTTCTCAGTTATATTTCGATGGTCACCTGTGAATGGAGGACCACACGGGAACCGCTCATGAAATATATCTGCACAAAACATAGAAGCGCGTGTATCCATGTTGAATTTCTTTCGTACGCTTCTTTCGTACAGTGTGAAAGTTCAATATGCATACATATGTTCTTGTAGCTGTCATGGAATTTGTTGTTAAATGCGACAATTTACAGAATTGTATCCAAACTCTATGCATTACAGGCAGTCCTCTGCTTACGATGGAGATGCGTTACGACGACCCCATCGTAAGTCGAAAATATCGTAAGTCAAAGATGGCCTCGCCTACCCAGGAGTCTTAAAGAATGGTGATAATTTAGCAAAACAGAGCAATTTACAGTACCGTACTGTATAAACTATATACTGTATGCATTAATTACAATACTGTATTGCACAGTAAAATGTAAGGTAAAAAAACAAGGTAAATTCTTAGCCTACCTATATGATCTGCAATTTAATAGAAAGTTTTTTTCAGGAAACAATCCTATCTGCATCACACAAGGCGGAAGATGCGTACATCCCGGCAGCGTTTGCCTTCCGCGCGAAATTAAAAATATTTAACAATTTTCTCGTATCGCTATCGCCATCGTAAGATCAAAATATCGTAAGTCGGACCATCGTAAGTCGGGGACTGTCTGAAAATGCCATTCGATGGTGTTGAGTTTTGAGGGTGATCCTGACACAGTCATGGTCATCAAGGGCCCGATTGATCGACTTCTTACGACATCGCATTAATAATACGGGGGGGGGGGGGGGGGGCGATAACAACCGCCCCTCCGCACACGACAGAGCAGTTTAGGAGCTGGCGGGAGCCACGCGTGCGTGCTGGAACACTCCGTGTGGCGGGAGTACGTGCGTGGGATCTGTGTACACGCGTGTGTGCGTGCTGGAACACTCCGTGTGGCGGGAGTACGTGCGTGGGATCTGTGTACACGCGTGCGTGCTGGAACACTCCGTGCGGCGGGAGTACGTGCGTGGGATCTGTGTACACGCGTGTGTGCGTGCTGGAACACTCCGAGCGGCGGGAGTACGTGCGTGGGATCTGTGTACACGCGTGTGTGCGTGCTGGAACACTCCGTGTGGCGGGAGTACGTGCGTGGGATCTGTGTACACGCGTGCGTGCTGGAACACTCCGTGCGGCGGGAGTACGTGCGTGGGATCTGTGTACACGCGTGTGTGCGTGCTGGAACACTCCGAGCGGCGGGAGTACGTGCGTGGGATCTGTGTACACGCGTGCGTGCGTGCTGGAACACTCCGTGTGGCGGGAGTACGTGCGTGGGATCTGTGTACACGCGTGTGTGCGTGCTGGAACACTCCGTGCGGCGGGAGTACGTGCGTGGGATCTGTGTACACGCGTGCGTGCTGGAACACTCCGTGTGGCGGGAGTACGTGCGTGGGATCTGTGTACACGCGTGCGTGCTGGAACACTCCGTGTGGCGGGAGTACGTGCGTGGGATCTGTGTACACGCGTGCGTGCTGGAACACTCCGTGTGGCGGGAGTACGTGCGTGGGATCTGTGTACACGCGTGCGTGCGTGCTGGAACACTCCGTGTGGCGGGAGTACGTGCGTGGGATCTGTGTACACGCGTGCGTGCGTGCTGGAACACTCCGTGTGGCGGGAGTACGTGCGTGGGATCTGTGTACACGCGTGTGTGCGTGCTGGAACACTCCGTGTGGCGGGAGTACGTGCGTGGGATCTGTGTACACGCGTGCGTGCTGGAACACTCCGTGTGGCGGGAGTACGTGCGTGGGATCTGTGTATACGCGTGCGTGCGTGCGTGCTGGAACACTCCGTGTGGCGGGAGTACGTGCGTGGGATCTGTGTACACGCGTGTGCGTGCTGGAACACTCCGTGTGGCGGGAGTACGTGCGTGGGATCTGTGTACACGCGTGCGTGCGTGCGTGCTGGAACACTCCGTGCGGCGGGAGTACGTGCCGGTGGGGAGTACGTGCGTGGGATCTGTGTACACGCGTGTGTGCGTGCTGGAACACTCCGTGCGGCGGGAGTACGTGTGTGGGATCTGTGTACACGCGTGCGTGCTGGAACACTCCGTGCGGCGGGAGTACGTGCCGGTGGGAGTACGTGCGTGGGATCTGTGTACACGCGTGCGTGCGTGCGTGCTGGAACACTCCGTGTGGCGGGAGTACGTGTGTGGGATCTGTGTACACGCGTGCGTGCGTGCGTGCCTGCTTTTCGAGGGCGTCGCCGCTTAATCCGAGCAGGGTCACGAGCTCTGCGATCAGCTCCGTCTCGTTTTGCAGCTCCGTCTTGTTCGCCGCCGCCGCCGCTGCCGCCGCCGAGCCTGCGCAAAGACACACACGCAACGATAAACGCACACGCAAAGCACGAACGCACACGCAAAGCACGAACGTACACGCAAAGCACGAACGCACACGCAACGATGAACGCACACGCAAAGCACGAATGCACACGCAACGATGAACGCACACGCAAAGCACGAATGCACACGCAAAGCACGAACGCACACGCAAAGCACGAACGCACACGCAACGATGAACGCACACGCAAAGCACGAACGCACACGCAAAGCACGAACGCACACGCAAAGCACGAACGCACACGCAAAGCACGAACGCACACGCAAAGCACGAACGCACACGCAAAGCACACGAACGTAACGGATGCGTTGGGGCGAGATGGCCGTGCGAGTACAACGCCGATGTCAGAATCAGAATATTTATTGAGACTGGGGGAGGACTCCGATGAGCTATGAAGGTTTTTTTTCCACAGATGTCCAGTAGGGGCACGGGGTAAGAACGTTACAACAACAAACAGTACAAAAACACGATAGTAGCGCAAAGTACAAGAAAAGGTAAACAAATCATCCAAACACATGCAACTAAAACACTAAACCATCCTGCCAGACAAAGCCCACCGAGGTATTGACTTATTGTTCAAAAGAGACCTGGCCACAAATGATAGCTCCACAAAAAGTGGCCCATCATGTGGACATTCGTAGCATCAAAATAATCTAAATAATCTCAATGCACGTTTCTAAACGTGGAGAGAAAAACGCGGAGGACCCGGAGAAAAAAGCCCACGCGACAACAGGGAGAACACGCAAACTCCAAATATACAGGCGTCAGGGTCGGGATCAAACCCCTGACCTGCACACGCCTGACACGGCCAAATAGATCTCGTCTTAGCTTGTCTTTTCATATTTACAAGGCAGTTAACATAGATTTTTAAAAAACATTATGATAAAATAATATTTGAGATGGAATGCAAGGGCTGAGGATAGAAGGGTACGTAGGGGTTACAAGAGGGTAGGGGAGGGATGGGAAGGAGTGGAGGGGCGAGGGGAGGGATGAGGAAGAGAATGGGCAGTAGAGAAGAGGTGAGGCTTTAAAAGAGGAACTAAAAGAGTTTAGGGAGGGACTGCTTCGTGTACAGGGGCAGTGTTGAGTCTATGGGCAGTGTTGAGTCTATGACATTGTTGATTCTGTAGTGTTGTAAATAACAGATTAATAAACTTCTTTAAGGCACACACTGGTTTATTGTCTTTCCTCCGACACAGTCCCTATACACTCACAGAGGGATATGCGGTTCCCTCACCCGTAGCCTGAGGAGGTAGAGCCTCCGTACCTGGCGGGACCTTTACACGGCTCTGACTGCTAGCCTAGGGAGGTACAGCCTCCGAACTGCCGGGAGCTATTCCCAGTCTACCCGCTACCCTAGCGTCCTCCGGCTGGGACCTAGGGGAGGCTAGCTTGACCCACCGCTGGCTCGGTGAGTCCCCTGACCACTGGTCGCACAGAGCCTTAGCTCTTAGAAGAGCTGGAAGGCTTGGGAGCCAGGGTCCTGCCTGCCAGGACCTATTCTCCCCTTGGCCGCTGGAACACTGAGCCTTAGCTCTCACAAGATCTGGAAGGCTTGGTCCAGGGTCCTAGCTTCTTCAGCCGGGCTTCAGTCTTCGTGTGAGGAGCACTGGCGGGCGCTCCCCGCGCTCGCCCTTTTATACCCATTTGTAACGGTCCTTATCCAATCACACGCTCCCTCGTGGGACCCTCCGATTGGTTCTTTACAAACCGTGTTTTCGATCCTCTTTTACCTACTCTGACCCCTGGCCGTTGGTCTGGCAGGAATCCGTGTTTACGATCCGCTCTCACCTCTCCCTGACCCCGGCCGTTGGTCCCAGAGCGGTAACTCTGCATTGCCCCTCTGATACATAGTGGTCCCGCAGGTTACCGAATAGAGTGTCTAGCACCTCTACAATTCTATAGGCAGTGTTGAGTCTATAGGCAGTGTTGAGTCTACGGGCAGTGTTGAGTCTACGGGTAGTGTTGAGTCTACGGGCAATGTTGAGTCTACGGGCAGTGTTGAGTATATGGGCAGTGTTGAGTATATGGGCAGTGTTGAGTCTATGGGCAGTGTTGAGTCTATGGGCAGTGTTGAGTCTATGGGCGGTGTTGAGTCTATGGGCGGTGTTGAGTATATGGGCGGTGTTGAGTCTATGGGCGGTGTTGAGTCTATAGGCAGTGTTGAGTCTACGGGCAGTGTTGAGTCTACGGGTAGTGTTGAGTCTACGGGCAATGTTGAGTCTACGGGCAGTGTTGAGTATATGGGCAGTGTTGAGTCTATGGGCAGTGTTGAGTCTATGGGCGGTGTTGAGTCTATGGGCGGTGTTGAGTATATGGGCGGTGTTGAGTCTATGGGCGGTGTTGAGTCTATAGGCAGTGTTGAGTCTATGGGCAGTGTTGAGTCTATGGGCAGTGTTGAGTCTATGGTGCAGTGTTGAGTCTACGGGCAGTGTTGAGTCTACGAGCAGTGTTGAGTCTACGGGCAGTGTTGAGTATATGGGCAGTGTTGAGTCTACGGGCAGTGTTGAGTCTATAGGCAGTGTTGAGTCTATGGGCAGTGTTGAGTCTATGGGCAGTGTTGAGTATATGGGCGGTGTTGAGTCTATGGGCGGTGTTGAGTATATGGGCAGTGTTGAGTCTATGGGCAGTGTTGAGTCTACGGGCAGTGTTGAGTCTACGAGCAGTGTTGAGTCTATGGGCAGTGTTGAGTATATGGGCAGTGTTGAGTATATGGGCAGTGTTGAGTCTACGGGCAGTGTTGAGTCTATGGGCAGTGTTGAGTCTATGGGCGGTGTTGAGTCTATGGGCGGTGTTGAGTCTACGGGCGGTGTTGAGTCTACGGGCGGTGTTGAGTCTACGGGCAGTGTTGAGTCTACGGGCAGTGTTGAGTCTACGGGCAGTGTTGAGTCTACGGGCAGTGTTGAGTCTATGGGCGGTGTGGAGTCTACGGGCAGTGTTGAGTATATGGGCAGTGTTGAATCTACGGGCAGGGTTGAGTCTATGGGCAGTGTTGAGTCTACGAGCAGTGTTGAGTCTGTGGGTAGTGTTGAGTCTACGGGCAGTGTTGAGTCTATGGTGCAGTGTTGAGTCTATGGACTTCAGTGCTGAGTCTATGGGCAGTGTTGAGTCTATGGGCAGTGTTGAGTCTATGGGCAGTGTTGAGTCTACGGGCAGTGTTGAGTCTACGGGCAGTGTTGAGTCTACGAGCAGTGTTGAGTCTATGGACGGTGCTGCTCAACGTACAGGGGAAGTTGATTCCAGTGGAGTGACGCAAGGAGGGGGAAGGACCAGACACGGGGATTGGGCGCAGGGAGAAGGAGGGACAGAGACAGAGAGGAGATTGGGAACGAAGCGGACGAGAGGGGACGTGGAAGGAGACGGAGGGAGGCCAGATGAGGTGAACGAACACAAACAATTAGTTTTGTTTGCTGCAGCACACTGGTACGTTGGAGAGCGATGCGCAAACGTTGGGACAATTGCACTCACAACACCGAATTGGCTGGCGAGCGCCGCACTCATTTATGGACATACGCGCGCGCACACAAACACACACACACACCAACACCGCACAAACACACACACCAACACACACCAACACCGGGTGCTGACCGGCAGCTGCTTTGTGGTCCGTCTTCGGCTCCTTGCCGCCGTCCATCGCCAACGCGCGCCACAGCGTCCTTCCCGGCGACGGTCTGGGATCCTCGACGGATTGTACGGGGCCGGAGAGCTGTGGGCCAGGCTCGAGCGTGCTCCTCCGCTCCTCCACGGGAGTGCCCGGCGGGCGTCTGGGCAACCCATCGGATTCTAGGTGCAAGGACTCTGCCGTGGACAGCTCGTTTGCCAGACGCTCCAGCTGCCGCGTAACTTTGTCGTCGATTTCGGGCTTCTCGATGTCAACCGCTTCCTGGACTGATTGTGCGCGCACAGATATATACACGCACACACACACGCACAGATAAACACACACACACACGCATCAGATACATATATACCCCACCGAAGGATCATAACCTTATCGTGGTGGTTTGTGTGTTCTATATACACACACAGATATAGACAACAACTTCCATTCGCCACTAAGTGGCGGGGACGTCAGCACGGCGCTTGTGCCAGGCTATGTGCACGTTGAGGCCACGTGAAGTGTTGAACGCCCTTTGGCAGGAGATCACGGGACAGATCCAGGTGCCATGGTTCGACTGAGATGACTAGCCGATGCACCACCTGTGCCCTCCACTGTGCCAACTTGCTGTGTTTTAGCCGCCCGGCGCTCCGCTGGTTGTTGTGAGCGTCGCTCCTCTGCCCTCCGTTGTTGCTGGAGGGCGACTGCCTCGAACTTCCCAGTAGCATCCTTCACGAACCTCCTCCACAGAGGCCGATCTTGACACCGCTGGTACCAGTCATCGGCAAGTCCACTCAGCTCTACATCCTCCTGTACTACATCACTCCATCTCTTCTCTAGCCCGTGCCGTGCCCATTTAGCCCCCTCTATCTGGCCGAACAAAAGCTTTTTAGGCATGTGGTGGCTGCCAATGCAGCTGTGCCTGCCGGAGGAGCTCACTGATGAGACTTTTTCCAGATCTTTCAAGGATTTGTGAGCGCCTCACACAATCCTGCCTGGTTAAACCCAGGATGGATCGTTGGCAGGCCAGCCTTATTATTTCTCACCGGCTAAGATGTACCATTAGGGGGGGTCCACATTTCGCAAGCATAAAGGAGGGCATGAGCGTGGCCGAGAAGACCCGAAGCCTCGTGTGGAGCGACAGGCCAGGGAGCTTCCACACAGCGTTACGCAGCCGATTAAAATATAATGCCGCTCGACTGAATCAGAGTTAGACCTCTGCTGTCAAAATGGAGCCGGTCATGAGCACATTGCCCAGGTATGGAAAACTTTCCACTCTCTCCACAACTGCCCCATCACCAATTGGGGGTTGTGGGAGTGGAAATATACACACACACAGATATACACACGCACAGATAAATGATAAAGTATATCAGTGGTTTGTCTACGGGACTTTTTTGCCAGTATCAAAATGATGAAAAAATAAGAATAGGCTTCATCTTTCCTGGCAATGAAACAGTAGGCGTTAAGGTGTTCAAACACCAAAGAGATACCTATTGCCCGGCAGCAAGTCTGCTTTAACCACACGCACTTGCTGCAAAACATGCGAACAAACACGCTCAACTGATTGGCCTACACCTGAGACAGCAGCCTTCTTTAGGGCCTAGTCTCATCAGCCAGTGCCAGACCACAGAGAACGCCAAAAGACGAACAGCACAAAGAGTATTTTGACAAGAGACACGGGGGGGGGGGCCCTTTACCAGCGCTATGCCCCTTCTTCTTGCTGGGCCGGAAGATGTTCTTCAGCGGCAGCGTGGACGGCCGAGGGGACGTCGGGGCGGGCTCACCAGAGGGAACGGCCGCTTTGGATTTCCTTCTCAATGAGAAGAATCCGATCCTGTGAAAAGTTTTGCACGGCGCGCGTGACCACCCCCACCTCGTTCCAACTCTGCGACCCCCGACCCCCATCGACCGACTATCAACCGAATCGGGGAACCGGGCCGCGTGGCCGATGCGGCCACCGGATGCACTGGTGCCGTCAAAGATTCGGCGGCCTGCGAGTGTTGCGCCAAACCATCGACCCACGTCGTAAACACCCAGCAGCCGCTGCCGCCTTCACTCTTTTAAAGGAGGAACGGATGAGATCCACTCTGCTTCTGAACAGACGATTGAGTGGATAACAACATCGAAAATCTCCACAAATCTGATGAAGCTAGTTGTGATTACTGGCGAAGCGTCGTAATCAAAGTGTGTAAATGTTGTGGCTTGGCTCTCCAACACACCGGTGTGCTGTACTAGTATACTACACTATACACTACACTATAGACTACTATACACTACACTATACACTACACACCAGTGTGCTGTACTAGTATACTACACTATACACTACACTATACACTACACTATACTATACACTACAGCTGTACTAGTGACGAATTGGCCACGTTCTGTTTACGTGGCAACCCTTACTAGTTGGCCGTGTCGGGTGGTGGCGGGTTTAACGACACATTTACGTTTACGCGATCTAACCCGAAAACCTCTACTGCGGTCGCAGAAGTTAAACGAATGGATGAGCTGTTTATTGTGCACGTGGGAGGAAACCGGAGAAGCTGGAGAAAAAACCCTCGAGCACAGTGGACCCAATTGACACCAAATGGCAATTGGGTCCACTTGCTATACCGCCATCTCCTCGACGCCCCCACCGGAAGAGGCTTCGCGACATTTTGCCCCACCCGATCTCGCGTCTCTCTTACGTCTTATTATGTCCCAACTTGGACCCTGCGTTGACGATCTGTTATCCCTCACTACGCGTCCCCCCCCCCCCCCCCCCCCCCCGTGCTCAGTCACGTTTCTGCTACTTTTCTCTCCTGGCTCCCCCCTCCATTTGGATTTGAACTTCCACTTTACATCAAAACAGGCAACTACACTCACCAGTTTTTCTTCCTCCCTTGAGACTAATAGCATATCCCTCTACTACTTCCTGTACTCATCTTTAAAACCTTAACCATCCGCCACCTTCCCCTTCCTAACCTCGCCCCTCGCTTTCGCGCTCATCACCCTCCCCGAAGCTCAAACCCCATCCCTTTGCCAAGACTAATGTAGCATTTTTTATTCTTGTAAAGTTCATTGACAAAAGCGCTCCATGAAATCCTACACAGGATGGGGGTTTTCTGCAATCCACCAACCCTCGCTGCCTCCACAGTGCCGGATTACAGGCGTGTGTCGTTCCACCTGCCACACCGGGAGATCGAACCGACGAACCTCTGTACTGCTGCAAGTCCAGCGTGCCGACCACTCCACCATGGTGGCAGCATTCAACGCGGCAACGTATACTCGTACAATAACCGCTGCTCAACTCCAGGTCTCTCGAGCCTCACCCTCGCCACTTGCTTTTGCCGCTGCGACCGCCGGCGCCGGAGCCGCTGCCGCTCAAGGACTGCTGCGGCGTGCCAGGCCACGGCGGACTCCTCCTCCGTTCCTCCTCTTCCACCTCGCCCTCCGCCTCGCCGAGGGGCGCCCCCCTCCGGTGAGCCTGACCCCTCAGCATCTCCTCGTCACGGTCGGACCAACCCTGCGCCACCATCATGTCCGCCGATTCCTCCTCCTCCTTCTTTTTCTTCTTCTTCTTGCCGTGCTTGAAACTGTCCCAGCTGCGGGAGGACACGAGCGAAAAACTGCCGCCTTCGTCCGATCGAACGCCGTCGTGTTCGCCAAGGCTCGTGCCAACGTGACGCGGGCAACAAGAGACGGCGGTTGTAGTAAGCGTGCGACAACCCGCTGACGATACTCATCGAAGGTAAATACACTGCAATTTCGACCTTCGTTGGAATCGATGAACAGTTAAACGATGCACAACGCCTTTAAAAACTCTAACACGGGAGCGTAATAATTGATCGCAATCATTAAAACGTTACAAAGCCCGTCTCGCGGCCCAAACCATTCGCTCTGGCGACCTCCGAACTCCTGACCCTCCCAGACAATCGTTAACTATTGACCTCCCACCCCCCCTGCCCCACCACGAACCGGATGAGCTTTTTGATGCGCGTTTTGAATCCGTGCTTTTTCTCCTCGGCGTTGTTGATCCTCTCGTGCGTCTCCATCCAATCGGGGTCCACCTCCACGCAATCGCGATGCGCCGAGCTCGGCGTGGAGCCGCTCTTGGTGCCTGCAACGTCGTCATCGCATTCGCCGATCACAACCTATAAGGTCGCACTTACAAGGTCACGCTCATTGCACACACGCACACAAAACGCTTGCCACAAACGAACCACGATGCCTTGCCAATCTCGACAAGGAGCAGAAACCATCGTCACCACGAACTCCGGTCATCCTTGCAGCCGGCGACTTTTGGCTAAGCCGTCGAAAACAGACAGTCACTGCATCGCGCGCTTTCAGACGCGCCTCTGAGGACGTCTGGAACGTTCTTCCTTCTGATATTCGGAAGCCACTGGAGCTGTGCACTCTTAAAACTAGATTAAAAACGTATTTCTTTAGAACTGCTTTTTCTGTTCAGTTTGTTGTCCTTCCCCGCACCTCCGATTAGCACGTTTGGCTACGTACGTTGCGAAAGAAGTTCAAAATACACACACACGCGGGTGAAAGCAACACCAGACACTGACCGGCAGGCACTTTGTGGTCCTTCCTCGGCACCCTGCTGTCATCCTTCGCCGACACGCGCGAGAGCGTCCTCTCCGGCGACGGGGTGGGCTTCGCGACACGTTCCACTCGCGTGCGTGCGAGTGGCTCGCCCGGCGGCGGGCCAGGCTCAGGCGTGATCCTCCACCCCTCGATGGGAGTCCCCGGCAGGGGTCTGGGAACCCCATCGGGCGAGACCCACGAGTCGACGTCGTGAGACTGTGCTGTGCGCAGCTGATGCTGATTTGCCAAACGCTCCAGCTGCCGCGCCACCTTCTCGTAGAATTCGTCTTTCCGCTCGCCGTCCACCGTGTCCTGGACTGATTGTGTACACACACACACACGCGAACGCTCAATCCCAGGGCGAGGCCGACTCACTACACCTCGCGGAGGATCGCTGCGCTGAACAAAATAGTTCCACAGTTTTTCAATTCGCGTGTTAAGTTAATGTTGAAAAATATATTTCATGGAAGGCCGGTTCCTAAGTTGGGTGTCCATAAATCGGGGACTGCCTCTATTCACAATTTATCATATAGAAGGACGTTTGTGGTAATAGCCACGCACAGAGACATTTAAACCTTCCCAGTGTCAACTGATTGATTAAAATGTCTTTAATATAGCGCTCTTCACAATACGATTCGTTAGGGAGCACAGGACGTTATTACATCAATACAATTTTGAGATGGACGAACCAGTAAGAAGTGTCCGCGGTACAAAACATTAAATGCATATTTATGCCGATTTTCAAAACCTTCTTTAAATCAGACGGGTGTTCATGGTGCACTTCACATGAACACAGGATCGACCGGCACACACTGCACCATAAACGCACTCTAGGCGCTGCAGACACCGAACGGAGAATCCTGACGCTCGGACTATCAACCCATAAACCTCGGCCACGAACCCACAAAACTGGACTTGCAAAACCCAATAAACCCGCACCATGGGAAACACAAACGTGGACCAGCAAGCGCAAAAACGACGTCGACTTTCAAGTCGAACTTTATCCTCCCATTAAGCAAACGGTTGGCTACGTACGACGCGAAAGAAGTTCAACACATGTACGTACACCCTGTAGTTTATTTCCGAATTCGGCACCTTAGCAACTAGTGCCGTCAAAAGATGATTGCACTCAGGATGGCCTTTTAAGAATAAAATAATAATGACAACCGTGAGAAGAGCCACAAAGCACGGCCTCACTCGAACCACCCGTCCGCCTCACGGTCCCAAAACGGCGGGAGGAACACGTTTGAACGCGACGATCAAATGCAAAAGTTCGTCGACAATCATATCCTCCGGGACTTCTCCCGCAAGCTGAAACAGCGCAGCAGAGTTACAGTAACCGGCGGCGATCGGAGAGCGCACACGCCGCCGGCGCCGCCCACCTCTTTTGACGACGGAGCCATTGCCCTGCCGCCGGCGATGGCACCGTTGGTGCCGGTGGTCGTAATCCGAGTGGTAGCAGCCACCGACGCGACCGACCGCCGTCTCCTCGGGCGCGCTCAGGCTGCGACGCAGGAACATCTCGAGCACCTTCTTGGTCTCGTCCTTAAACGACAGGATGCTGTCCCCCGGGCCCCCGGGCTTGCCGGTGTTACTGCCGTCGCTGCCGCCGCCACCGCCACCGCTATCGTCCTCCATGGCTGTCTGTGCGAGGGGAGGGAGTGGCAGGGCGATGCGACGCGATCGTACGTTGTGCGCGCGCGTGCGTTGAACTTCCTTCGCACCGTACGTAACCAACCGTGCTAAATCGGAGGTGCGGGTGGGCAGGGAAGGACGACAAACTAAACTAGACACGAAAAGCAGTTGTCAAAGAACTGGCGCGCGAATGCGTACATGCAGCGTCTCGCCGCGCATTATTTAGCGCAGGGGCGGGGAATGCAATCGTTTCCCAATGCAATAATGGGGCACTTGTGCGATAGGTCACCCACACGGAGTCACCGGGGGTTTGATGCCTGTAGATAGGAGGCGTTGTACTACTTCGTAGGTTTTAGCAGTTTGTGTGGGGTAAAGCTCTCGCCACACGCTTACAGGGTTGCGCCCGCGCGTTGCTCTTGACCCCACGTCTGACCTTTCGCTCGTGCTGGCAGCTTCTTAAAAAAACTGAAAAGTATAAACGTAACCCTGCCCATCCTGCACACACGAGTCCGCACGCATGCCTGTACAATTGATTGTATACCGCTAAAGTAGGGTTTATTCTGGTTCAAGGTATATCGGTTAGGCGCTGGACTTCCAATGAGCTATGAATCTCTTTTTAACACACACCCGGTACATAAACGACCGGACCTGTACACATTTACTTTGACGCTACGCCGCGAGCATCCCCGACGCCTGTAACCACGACGACTTGAGCCGGAAACACGACCGCCGTTCACGGTTGCTCGCTCAAGTCGCCAACAGAGACGCCGTGAAGGGCGTGCCGACAAATAGCTCGAACAAAATAATGGGCCAAACTTTTAACCGTGAACCCGACGACAATCATTTTCAACTTGTAACGCACCGCTCGGGGGTTCGCCGGCTCTCAAGAGTGTGGTTAATGCGGGCCCGATTCCTCGCAAAAGGTTTCTATTTGGTGTTTGAACATTTTTTTTTTTCACCCGAAGACGATTGCTTGTGTTGCGATCGAAACGTCGTGATTTTTTAAATTACTTTTCTATCTACGTGACTTTACCGAAAGACCCAAAGAGTAACTTAACGCCTGTTTTATTGTCAGAAAGGGTAAAAACCGATTCTTATTTTTATATACTTGTTGTTGTTGGTTGTTGTTGTTTAAGATTGGTCCAAAAGTAACGATTTTGCAGGAATTTCTTTCGCCTATATTAAACAATTTAAATAAGCAGGACAAGAAGCATCCATAACGTGATCCGTCCCTCTACAGAACACATATGCAAGCAATTTAGTTGTCCAATTTAGCACATAGTCCAGCGGCCTCAATTCGAGTATCTCTTTTCTCCTTATCATCATTGCACAAACCACCGAAGGCCTCTCTAACGTGGGTGTCACTTCTCCACAGTGCCTTGGTTGACTCTGCCCGAGCACTCCACCGAGTACTGGACAGCGATTTTAATGTCAGTCTGACATCTGTGGATGAAGAGCAAAATGTCGACAGTGACTGCAACATTTCAAAAGACACATCAGCCTCTGGGCTACTGCCGTCTAAGGTGTTAACACCAACTAAATTAAATGAATGCGCTGCGCAAGGCACATACTCTATCAGGGTTTTTTTTTTGGTTTCAGGTGGGCCAGTAGCCCATTGTATTTTCCTGACATGTTGCTTGTATTGTCATATGACTGACCTCTACAGTTTGAGAGGTCCATCCCAAGGCCCTCCACCATCAAAGTCACACAGTCAGCTAAACTTTTACCAGTGCGACTCTAAATTGGCTCAAAACCCAAGAATCGTTCCACCACATTCCTGCTGCTGTTGTCAAACCGGAATATGAATGTCAAATGGTCCACATGTGACAGGTCTGGGGTGGAGTCAACAATTATTGAAAAATATTTGGCATCCCGAATCTCATCGGCTATTGTTTGGAGAGTTTTTCTGACCCATTAGCTCAATGAGTTCTTCACATATTGTCGATGACAAATAGGACACCGTGCCTCTTCCTTTTCCGCCAAACTTTTTAATATGTTCAGCTAAGAATGGGTCAAATTGTGATAGCAATTCTAGGATGCCAAGGAAATTACCATTACGGGTTGACCCATCTCCCCTAAACGCAAGTCCTCTTTCACCCAAGAACTTGATCACTGCTACAACTCTTTTAAAAATGTCCCTCCAGTATTTACATTCCGCATCAAGTTTCTGCATGAGATCTGCATCTATAGGAGGCCTCGGCAAGGTAAGGTAATTTACCCTTTTTACCGGGTAATAGGGTAAATGTGTCGACATGGCAAGGGGTAAGGTAAAGGGTAGGGTAAAGGTAGCACAAAGTATCACCCGGTAAACACCTTGTTTACCACTCGCTAAGATGTGACGTCACCGCTCACTTGTTGTGCAAAATATATCCATTATTGTGCCCCCCCCCCCCCCCCCCCCAAAAAATATATATAAAAAAGCCAATTTTTATACTTTTTGCATTGTGTACAGTCTGGAAGCTACCCACATGCCATGTCAGGAAGTATGCTAAACATTTCGAACAGACACACATATTCACAAATTTCCATTTAATATATATAGATGAATAAAGCGCTCTTCCTAGTATTTACCTGTTATAAAGCTTTTTCATGTGTAGTTCCCCCCAGTAATTACCCTGTAATCGGGTAACTTGTATGGAGGTAAGGGTAAAGGTAGGCTCGTTGCTTTTGACCTTTTACCTTACCCTCGCTAAAGGGTAAAAGGTAGGGTAGAGTGATTGTATTGTGGTAAGATAAAAGGTAGGGTAAAGGTAGCCTCGTTGTTTTTACCTTAATCTATAGCACTGCCCTTTGTCCGTTGGTGCAAGATGCATGCAAGATCTGTGTTCTGCACTCTTTTCGCGTTTCCCTATTCTTTCTTCCAGTCACTAAACCCCTGACTAAAGCCACCTTTTGAGGGCGAGTACAGTAGCCACTGTCTAGAAGCCGTCTGCCCATTTGGCAATATACAGTTCAGAAGTTCATTGTTGAAACTTCTCATCTTTCCACCAAACGCTCTATCTCGGACTGAAGCTGGGTATTTTTCACTGCGGTTTTGGAAGGGGACTGCTCCTCTTTCAATAAGCACTGACTTAACAATATCACTGGAAGTGCTTTGCCATAATGCAGGGTCAGTGACCACATAGCACCAGGAATGGCTTGGTTGCCGATTTGATTCTTGTAAACCGCCCAACTACTCCTGAGGTGGAAATGATGGTTATTGGATACCATTAGCTGTTGAGGGTTTGCTTTCAAAGAATGGGTCTGGGGGAATGACAACATTACTGAAACTGAAATAGTGCTAGTTCCTTCCTCACAGCTGACAACAGTGCTGCTGTCATCATTATTACTACCAGTAGCTCTCAACAAACAACAAGCGCTCAGTCTCACTAGCTGGCTTTTTAGTGCAGCTAATTTGGTTTAAGCGCAGCTAGCTGGCAAAAGTGACAACTAGCGAACTAATTTATGTTAACAAGCTGAATCACATGGGCAGCTAACTAGGGAACATGCGCAGCTAGCTAAAATAAAGGAATAGCTAGTAAAATAAACGGCTTGCCATAATACGACACCCTTCAAACTGTCCTGTTATTCAGAATGAACTGACGTGTTGGTGAATATTGTATCATGTCACAGCGTATTGTAGCGTGTCAACGAGTGGCTCTGTTGTACAGAAGCGCTGTTCTCTCCTAGAGGCCCTCGTTTTCAGCATGCACTCTATGTACCAAGGGGCCCCCCCAGGTGTTACGCTCGATGTAAGCACCGAGGGGCCTGGGGGCCCTAGTGGTCAACTCACGCTTGAAGCACGAGGCGCCTCACATTGTAAGCGATGCGGGGCTCGGGGGCTCTAGTGATCAGCTTACTCTTTAAACACCAAGTGGTCTGGGGGCTCTCATATTGTAAGCGCTGAGGGGTCTGGGGGGCCCTAGTGGTGAGCTCACGCGAGAAGCACCCAAGGGCCTTGTGGTCATCTTGCGCTGTGCGCACTGAGGGCCCTGGCGTTCAACTTCCTTCGAAAGTCTAGGGCCACGCACCACGCGCGGCCTGAGGCTTGGAGGCCCCCTGGAAGTCGCTTCCCCCGTCTCGTTCCGTGCCAACCCCCCCTCCATTCCCACCCCGCCACGCTCTCAATCTCTCTCCGCTACTCCTCACCCCCCCACCGGTCTCCTTGTGCACAGTCCCCCCATCTCCGCTCCTTTTCCCCACCACTGGAACAAACTTCCCCTCCACGTCAAGCAGCGAGAAGCACTCTGCTACCTGTCGAGTCTCCGCTCCTCCCTAAATTGCCCCCCCCCCCTGCCAAACCTCTCTCCCCCCCACTGGCCCCCCATTCCTTCCCTACATTCCTAGCGCCCCCCCCCCCCCGCAATGCCCCGTATCCACTCACCTCCCTCTCCGTACCAACTCCCGCTCCCCCATTATTCACCGCATCGCTCTTTAGCTACCCTCATTGTGGAACAACCCCCCTTGGTAGAGAGCGTCCCCTTGGATCAGGAGTGGGGAACGTCCGGCCCACGCGGGCCACATGAGGCCCACGAAATCATTTGGTGTGGCCCTGCCAATTTGGTGTGGCCCTGCCAATTTGGTGTGGCCCTGCCAATTTGGTGTGGCCCTGCCAATTTGGTGTGGCCCTGCCAATTTGGTGTGGCCCTGCCAATTTGGTGTGGCCCTGCCAATTTGGTGTGGCCCTGCCAAGGCAACCGCAGGCCTGACTAGAAATTCAACAAATCTCTAGGAGCAAACCTGGAAAAGCAGTTGCGAGTAGCAACATCATCAATACCAGCTAACATCACACGCCTCGCCAAAGAGAAACAGTTCCAGCCATCGCATTAGGGGCGAGTTAATTAAATGTTTGACCAAATTTCACGAGCTAATTTTTAAGTTGATAATGTTGTATGGCCCGCGAATGATGTTAAAAAATATCCAAATGGCCCTTCGCAGAAAAAAGCTTCCCAGCCCTTGCCTTTGATGAAATGCCAGCTGCAGTCGGCACTGAACCCGCGACCACCGCCTGCAATCCAATGGGATTACACCGAATTTGACGAACAAACATGAACACTGTAGTGAACTCAGTCCAGCTAGCCAGGGTTTTACTGAATTATCTTTACGTCTTCATTCAAAGTAATTAATTTTGTCTCGTTATAAGGCAATACTCGGGTTAAGGTAAGTCGTAGCCGATTCATGATTTTCGTCCGCTCATCATCCATCGTTAACTCAACCGAAACCTTGTCGACCAATATTTGCGCCACTTCATTTCATAATCAATTACGTGAGACTATAGGCATGGAGAAGTAGGCCAAATGCCTCCTCTGTAGCGAACTCTCAGTCCAGCTAGCCAGGGTTGTACTGTGTATCTCCATGTTTCGTCTTCCACCTGCCGCTAATAACCTTACTGAGTGTGCGTTTTCATTTAGACTGCAGTCGTTAATACAGGGTGCTTAAAAACATATTAACACTTTTATGGAATTACCGTTTTAAATGAATAATTTACTGTAACATGATAAAAAAAAATGTTTACGTTGATAGCTTCAAAAAGTCAACAAAAAGTCTCCACTTGTTCGCCATCGTTGTCAACAGATGCCTGGAATCTTCTCCAGGTGGTCTCCAGAGCTCGGAGGAAGCACATCTTACTTGTGGTATTCTCAGAAGTGTTAGAACATTTTGAAAGCACTCTGTATGTCTCGGTGTGCTCTTGTGTTTGGTGGGTTGTCCCAACCAAGATGAATTATTTCCTCCACTCTTAGTTATCCTTACAACCTCAAGAACAACAGCAGCAAAAACTCCACCACTTCACTGACGAATATATTCATCACTAATTTCACGAACAAACATGAACACTGCAATTTTTCATGGCTAAGAGCGTGGGAGAATTGGGGGCAACGTTTGTCCTCTCCATGAGAAGGATGGAGTTTCCTCTCGGCAGCTTGTGGAGGCCCTTTCACCAGCGTTGTGCGAGGACACCTGCCGTCAAACAAAGCCTCCCCACCCCCCCAATAGTCCGGGCGTGTTGTGAACAATGACAAAGGCACGATTCGAAATCAACTGGCGGAGATATGAAGGCAGTAATAAAATAATAAAAATAAAACATAATAAAATTATTCTCACGACGTTTCGGCCACAACGCAAGCAGCCGTCCTCAGGTGAAAACCAGGTCTGTCGAGAATAATTGAATTATGTTTTATTTTTATTATTTTATTACTTCCCTTCTACGTGACTTTACCGAAAGAACCAAGAAGATGAATCCCTGCAGTCACGACAGCTTTAAATCGAAATACACCCGGAGTGTTCGAAAGGTGTCGTAATAACGAAACGTCGCTCTGGCCTGTACTGTTTCTGCTGTTGTTGCTGCTGCTCGCTTGCTTGCTGCGTACCTGTGTTTGACTCTCAGACTCCGTGGACACGAGAACCATCGGAGGAGAGAGGGAGGATGAGGGAGGATGAGGATGAAGGGAGCGGCTGGAACAGCGGCGCGGACCGGCGATGGTGTCTCTCTCGAGCCGCGCTCCGACTGACGACTTCCTCGAAGCGGAGGGGCCGCCCCCTCAGTACAGACAGCGGGGGCGGGGCCTTGCTAGCGCCCCTCCCATCTTACCTCCTTAGCCCCTCCCATCTTCCCTCCTTAGCCCCTCCCATCTTCCCTGCTTAGCCCCTCCCATCTCCTCTCCTTAGCCACTCCCCATCTTCCCTCCTTAGCCCCTCCCATCTTCCCTCCTCAGCCCCTCCCCATCTTCCCTCCTTAGCCCCTCCCATCTCCCCTCCTTAGCCCCTCCCATCTTACCTCCTTAGCCCCTCCCATCTTCCCTCCTTAGCCCCTCCCATCTTCCCTCCTTAGCCCCTCCCATCTTCCCTGCTTAGCCCCTCCCATCTCCTCTCCTTAGCCACTCCCCATCTTCCCTCCTTAGCCCCTCCCATCTTCCCTCCTCAGCCCCTCCCCATCTTCCCTCCTTAGCCCCTCCCATCTCCCCTCCTTAGCCCCTCCCATCTTACCTCCTTAGCCCCTCCCATCTTCCCTCCTTAGCCCCTCCCATCTTGCCTGCTTAGCTCCTCTCATCTTCCCTGCTTAGCTCCTCCCATCTTCCCTCCTTAGCCCCTCCCATCTTCCCTCCTCAGCCCCTCCCCATCTTCCCTCCTTAGCTCCTCTCATCTTCCCTCCTTAGCTCCTCCCATCTCTCCTCCTTAGCCCCTCCCCATCTTCCCTCCTTAGCCCCTCCCCATCTTCCCTCCTTAGCCCCTCCCATCTTCCCTGCTTAGCCCCTCCCATCTCCTCTCCTTAGCCACTCCCCATCTTCCCTCCTTAGCCCCTCCCATCTTCCCTCCTCAGCCCCTCCCCATCTTCCCTCCTTAGCCCCTCCCATCTCCCCTCCTTAGCCCCTCCCATCTTACCTCCTTAGCCCCTCCCATCTTCCCTCCTTAGCCCCTCCCATCTTGCCTGCTTAGCTCCTCTCATCTTCCCTGCTTAGCTCCTCCCATCTTCCCTCCTTAGCCCCTCCCATCTTCCCTCCTTAGCCCCTCCCATCTTGCCTGCTTAGCTCCTCTCATCTTCCCTCCTTAGCTCCTCCCATCTCTCCTCCTTAGCCCCTCCCCATCTTCCCTCCTTAGCCCCTCCCCATCTTCCCTCCTTAGCTCCTCCCATCTCCCCTCCTTAGCCCCTCCCATCTTCCCTCCTTAGCCCCTCCCCCTCCTTAGCCCCTCCCATCTCCCCTCCTTAGCCCCTCCCATCTCCCCTCCTTAGCCCCTCCCATCTTCCCTGCTTAGCCCCTTCCATCTTACCTCCTTAGCCCCTCCCCATCTTCCCTGCTTAGCCCCTCCCATCTTACCTCCTTAGCCCCTCCCATCTTCCCTCCTTAGCCCCTCCCATCTTCCCTCCTTAGCCCCTCCCCATCTTCCCTCCTTAGCCCCTCCCATCTTCCCTCCTTAGCCCCTCCCATCTTCCCTGCTTAGCCCCTCCCATCTCCTCTCCTTAGCCACTCCCCATCTTCCCTCCTTAGCCCCTCCCATCTTCCCTCCTCAGCCCCTCCCCATCTTCCCTCCTTAGCCCCTCCCATCTCCCCTCCTTAGCCCCTCCCATCTTACCTCCTTAGCCCCTCCCATCTTCCCTCCTTAGCCCCTCCCATCTTGCCTGCTTAGCTCCTCTCATCTTCCCTGCTTAGCTCCTCCCATCTTCCCTCCTTAGCCCCTCCCATCTTCCCTCCTTAGCCCCTCCCATCTTGCCTGCTTAGCTCCTCTCATCTTCCCTGCTTAGCTCCTCCCATCTTCCCTCCTTAGCCCCTCCCATCTTCCCTCCTTAGCCCCTCCCATCTCCCCTCCTTAGCTCCTCCCATCTTCCCTGCTTAGCCCCTCCCATCTTCCCTGCTTAGCCCCTCCCATCTTCCCTCTTTAGCCCCTCCCCATCTCCCCTCCGTAGCCCCTCCCATCTTCCCTCCTTAGCCCCTTCCCATCTTACCTCCTTAGCCCCTCCCATCTCCCCTGCTTAGCCCCTCCTCCCCCTCCTTTCTCCTCCCACCCCCTCCTCCACCCCCTCCTACCTCCATTCCCCCTCCCCTCCTCCCCCCACCCCCATCCTCCCTCCCTCCCATCCTCCATCCTCCCCCTCCTCCCCCTCCTCCTTGCCCCTCCCCTCCTCCCCCCATCCTCCCTCCCCCCACCCCTTCCTCCCTCCCCCCACCCCCATCCTCCCCCCACCCCCATCCTCCCTCCCCCTCATCCACCCCCCTCCACCCCTTCCTCCATCCTACTTCCCCCTCCCCTCCTGCCCTCCCCCTGTCATCGTAAACAGCTGATTACCATAACAATGGATGATCGTAACATCTCGACTTAAAGCTTTCGTGACTGCAAGAATTCATATTCCCGGGGTCTTTCGGTCAAGTCACGTAGATAGATATTGACCCTTTTTATTCCAGAAGACGACCGCTTGTGTTGCGATCGAAACGTCGTAGTTTTTTTTGTTATTTTCTTTGCACCTATCACGTAGATAGGTTCAACGAAAATAACGAGCCAGCGCCTCCCCAGCCGTTGACCTCACCGTGCGTCACTGGTCGAGTTGTGTGGCCAACACGGAAATGATGATGGGTGGGGAACGTACCATGTCTGTAGGATGGATTGCCCTTTAGTAATATTGCACTAATAGATCTAAGACAGTTCTACCGGTGAGACAATTAGAACACTGGTGCTTAACCTGGAGTGCACGCACCCCCAAGGGGTGCGAGATGCCCTTTCTGGGGGTGCAAAACATGACCACATGTCTTTCGTAGGTAAATCATCGAAACACAAATTAAGCACGGGAACAGAAGTACGTTCCATTCATTGGCTACCACATTCTGATTAGCTCCCCCCCTCTCCTCCCCCTCAACTTGCTTTTTAAGGGATTACATCTTGAATCATTGCCTCACTTGATGCAGCTAATCCGGCTGTGACGGTCCCACCTGATGACGGAGACTTGTGTTGCCTCCGAAACGTCGTGATTTTTGTTTTTTGTTTTATTTTATTTTTATTAATTTAGATGTTTTACCTACGTGACTTTACCGAAAAAAACCTAAGAATATAGAAGTACAACTACTTTGTTATATCAAACCGATGTACTTATTTACTACGATGAGCCAAGAATGTCCGTGTGTCCCGCGCGTGACGTCACTCCACGTCGGCCAGCCCCCCTCATTAATACTCATGAGCGGGTGACGTCCTCCACATGGACCCTCCTCTCATAAATAATAATTAGCGGGTGACGTCACTCCACATGTAGCACCCCCCCCCCGCACCATCACTAATAATCATGAGCAGGTGACGTCACTCCACATCGAATAGCCCCCACAATAATAAAGAGGTGACGTCTTCCAAATGGACCCCCCCCCCCCGCAATTAATTAGCAGGTGACGTCACTCCACATGGGGGGGGGGGGGGGGGAACGAGGCACCTCCTACCCCCTCCTCGGCGTCAACTTACAACCCTCACTACAAAGGCAGAACCCTCACGTCCCGTGATCTCCGTAACGCTGTTGAGACAAAGAAGTAAAAAGGACGTCATGATGAACAAGGGATTATAACCTTTAAATGAAATAAGTCTGTGTCACCGCGGCCTTACAAACTGCACACGCATTGATGCAATGAATATCACGTCGCGGTCTGCTTTTCGCTTGCAAGTTTCAGATTTACTGAAATACACCCGTCCTTGGACGGGCAAAAGGCTCGTAAACATATATGTGTTTACGATTTAGAACCTAAGGGGTGCAAGGCTGCAGTAAAGGTTAAGAACCACTGTACTAGATAGTGCTTTGACAGATGGTGGCCTTGCTGACGCTTTAAACATTTTCTTACAATTTTTTTTTTATCACCCGAGCTTCAACTTCATGTTGGACAGTTTACAGACTTGTCACTCCAAGGCTACCACAATTTTTGTGTTGCACGTTATTTTGACACTGGTTCACCCAAGCCTTTTGAGAATTAAAAGACAATTCCTCACGAGTGGGAAATTCACATTCACCAAAACGTTGCATGCAAACCAACAGCAACAACGTGAACCATCGCAGAGCGTGCACAAGAAAATAATGACCAAAAACCACACAAATATAGTTTACCCATTATTGTTTATTGATGACCAATTTAGACCCAAATATATTGAAGGTGTTTAAGGGAAATTCAATCTGAAACATTATAACGCAGGACACATCACCAGCAGGAATTACGGACGGTGAAGAAAAACAATCTAATGGCAGCCAAGGAACGGAATATGCATCCAAGGGGACTTCCGCCGAGAAGCTGCAGCAATGAAATCAGTTTGTGCGCAGGTGCTGGGTGGATTCTTTCATCACTGGACTGAGAAAATAATACAATTTATAACGCGCGCAATGTTGCCGAAGATGCAATTCTGAGGCGGTGAGCCGAGCTCCGTGTCAGATCGCGTCGCCCAGTTCTAAGGAGACTCGGTGGTGACATGTCGAGTTGAAGAGATGCGCCTTTAGATCGCTTTTGAACGAAGAAAATTATTCATCGTAGCGGAAGTGAATAGGGATGACGTTCCAGAGGACGGGGGCTGCGATGGAGAAACGACGGGAAGTAATTACAAACCTTGCCCTGGGAGTTTAGAGGTTCTGCGACACATTTCAAAGGTGTCTACGATTAATTGAAGTGTAAGGCGTCAGCAGAGAACTTCGGTACGGTGGGTAGCCGGACTCGAGAGCGCGGTAGCAGAGGCAAGCGATCTTGAAGGTAAATTTGATCGAAATGGACAGCTAGTGAAGGGCACGAAGGATGGACATGGAGTCAGGACGAGGCTTTCGGGGGCCGTGGACAATTCGGGCAACGTGATTTTGGAGGCGTTGCAGCTTATTTTGGTTGCTTAGAGTGGACCGGACGAGGACTGAGTGACAATAGTCGAGCCACGACCCAACAATGCCGCAGGCGAGAGTATTTGCGATGTTGGAGGTGATGAGCGGACGTAGATGGCGGAGGGCCCCCGAGGTGGTAGTTGCAGGACTTGAATACGAGGTTGACATGGGTGTCGAAGGAGAGTGTGGGATCCAGAGTGACGCCGAGAAATCTCGGATGGTCAGCGAACAGAACGAATGAATCGGTGAATCAGTGATTGAGATTCCCGAGGGGAGTGGGAGTGTTGGCAAGGCGACCGTCAATGCTTGATTGGGTCGTTCCCGGGCAGTTGAAATTGCCGGGAAGTACGAACCCATGGGGTGAAATGGGAATGGAATACAAAAGGTCAACACAATTTTTGTTCCTGGGTAGTAAGTGTTATTTCGTAATTGCTTATGCCGAAAAAGTGACTATAGTCAGTTGGGGAAAAGCATCCGGACAGCCACAGTGATCATGGCTAGGACGGACTCCCAAGCCTGGACGCCACTTTCCCTGCACGGAGGTAGTGGAAGTCCGGATCCATGGACAGTTGGGGCCGCGTCCGATTCATGCTGACCACAACTGGGCAGCGGTGGTTGCTGACAGCGCACGTGCGGCCAAGAAAATAATAAAATAGAGTTATGAACAGGAGATGGAAACGAAACAGGTAAATAAATACTGGGGAGGGGAGTATAGAAGAGAGAAAGGGGGACTGGATAACTAAGCTCGATGGGAAGGAGAAGACGCGGCGCTGGAGCAGTCAGACAGCAGTCAGACAGCAGCCAGCTCGCGCGGCGCCATCCAAATGCTAAGATGCCATCCTCTTTCACTTATTGAGAAACCTCTGCTCTTAAAATTCTCCAGGAACAGCTGGAGAACTTAAACGCTGCAGACTGGGCGTTCCTCACGTCGGCTGCGATGCTTCCGCAGCGAAGACGTGCTCGCTGGCTGGCCGCACCGTGCGGAAGGATCCGGATACCCTGGCTTGCAGGCACACACACACTGCTGCTGCTGCTGAAGCCGTCGGGACACCATCCTGGGCCGTTGCATTGCATCTCCAGCATGGAGGCCCGTGGTACCGCCCAAGCTCAGCGTGCCACCTGGCTGTGCCAGGTCAGGCAGGACAATGGCATCCCGATCAGCAAAGCATGGACTGGTGCCTCAAGGCTTGGTAACTGTGTAAGGCGAACGCTGTGGCCTCCTCGCAAGGCTTAAGCGGCTTAGCGACTGATCAGCAACACAACTTCATAACCTAATTTTAATCACGCTGGATTATCTTTATGAAACCACAAAACAGACATACAAATAGAGGGGGGGAATATATTAACTCTTTAAACCTAAAAATGTGTTTTAATAAAAACTCCCACAACCAAGTAGTTCCCAAATTGACTAAAAGCTGATTTGCGGAAAATACCAAATAATTTAACCCTTGACGAAAGCTTACAGTACTTAAGACATGGTTTCCTTGACCAGGTGGAGAATTTGCATCGGTGGAATTGGTCAGCCTCGACAAGTTAAACACAAGCCACCCAAATGAAAACAAGGGGCGTGCAATGGTTTTCTTCATCCCCAACATGCTGCGGTTGAAAGCTTTAGAAATAATTTTGAATGGGGAAAAACGCACTATCAGATACAGAAATCCGAGTTGGCATGTGTGCTTAATTGTCCTTGAAACTGCCCGATTAATGTACACCACCCTTTGGCAAATCACTGCTGGATGCAGGCATCCCCATGCTGTGTTGTGTCATATGGATTGCTTAACCATACTTCACCATGCCGGTCATGGCGAGTTGATTATATGGGACCAGTTCATGTATTGCTCACCAAATGACGCTAACCATTTCCAGGAACTAAACTCAACTCACTGGGTTTGTGGGGCGACGACGCTAACACTGTGCCAGGACAGGCGAGTCGCCGCAGATCGAAAATCGTGTACAGTAATTAAAGCCGAACGATTATCGAAACGTACAAACTGCGCCGCCGCCTAGAAGCCTGGCACGCCTGCGTGCAGCGTGTCGAGCAGCGTCCAGTTTATATTATTCATGTCCAACATTGAATCGGTCCAGTTCTCCTCCAGCTGGGGCAGGCTCAGTTCATGCAGAATCTTGTCAAAGCTGTCCTCGCCACATGTCCAGCTCGCTCCATCCACACCACCGTTGGCCTCCTTCGCAGCCTCCGCCACCCCCAATGATGCCGGTTCCCCCCCACCACTGCCCCCACAGGTGCTTGCCCCGGCTCTCTCTGCACCGCTGCGCTTGGGCACCATCGCCGCCACCTCCGCCACGGTATCCGCATCTGCCAACGCGGAGCCGCCAATCCCTTTGCTGTCGTTTTCCACGTCTGCGTCTTCCTTCTCTATCTTAACCAACACGATATCCAACGGCGCTGACGGTGCAGCGGCAGAGGTTGTTTTGTTCTCTGCAACGCAACCAGCTTTTATCGGGGTGAATGACAGACTGACTCTGGGCACGCGGTCCCCCCTTGCGCGCATCGTCCACGAGCTTGGCGTGACGCCTCTCAGCCGGTGCGGGGTGCGAGGGGAGTGGTGGTAGGCCATGGCGGCGGTGGCGGTGGCTGGGCTAAACGGCGAGGAGGAGAACGGCAGCGGTGGCGGAGTGAAAGGGGGGCTCCACGGGGAGAGTAGGCACGTGGGCGGCTCCGTCAGTTGGCACGGCGTGGAAGTGGTCAGGCTGAACCTCCGCGTCGGGGTCGCAAACAGCGCCAAGTCTGCGCACTCCGCGGCTTGTTGTCCATCAGGGTCTGCACGCGAGAGGAGATGGCGCAATCAGTCGGACGTGCCTTCTTCAACGGTAATCCTTATGCTCAAAGAAGACCATGTGAACATTAATTTCAATACAGCAGAACCCCTCTTAACGACCATCCCTGTTAACGAATAATCGCTTAACGACAGGACTCCATAGAGCCCAATATGTAGTGTATAGTATAGTAGTGTGTAGTGTATAGTAGTGTAGAGTAGTGTAGTGTAGACTGTAGTGTATAGTAGTGTTGTGTATAGTAGTGTAGTGTACAGTAGTGTATAGTAGTGTAGTGTATAGCAGTGTAGTGTAAAGCAGTGTAGTGTATAGCAGTGTAGTGTAGAGTAGTGTATTGTAGTATATAGTGTAGTGTATAGCAGTGTAGTGTATAGCAGTGTCGTGTATAGCAGTGTAGTGTATAGCAGTGTAGTGTAGAGTAGTGTATTGTAGTATATAGTGTAGTTCAGTGTATAGCAGTGTAGTGTAGAGTGTAGTGTATAGTAGTGTATTGTATAGTGTAGTGTAGAGTACAGTAGTATAGTGCCTCCATAGAGCTCAGTGTGTTCACTTACTGACCATTCCTCCTATTAACAACAGCTGTTGTAGGTACAGTAAATATTAATTAAAGCATTTATTAACCATGTTTCTTTTAACGTCATATGTTTAAGTTGTTAGTATCTTTTTGTATTAATATCCATTGTTTAAATATTATTAAGTAAGTTTTTTGGGTGAAAAGGGTAACACTTTCAGTGCTATCGGAACAAATGAAGCCTTTAACGTGTATTTCCTCTGCTCGCTTCATGACCAAATCACTTAACGACCGTTTCGTGGGACCAATTAACGTCGTTAAGAGGGGCTCTACTGTATTTGAAAGCTAATTTTGATACAATTGATTTATGTAAGATTATCATTCTACAATTAATATCTGGAAGCATTTTTTTATGCAATCGATATATGAAAGCAAAATGTTATATGCGTCAAACATATGGTTTAAGGTAAAGTTAGGCGAAAGATTGTTTAATATTATGTTTGGATTTAAGATTAATCTTTGGTTGAGGGTTGAGAGTATGACCTAAGCTTTGGGTTGGAAGTTAGAGGTAATGTTTGGGTTTAGGTTAGGGAATGATGGTTGAGGTTTGGATTGTGGATAAAACTATAAGTTTGGCTCGACTATGGAGTACAACTCAGGATAATTATGAAGATAGATGTTGCCGGATGGTGACGAGGTTATTGCGCTCAATTCACAATCTGCAGATACAACCTAGTCTGCATCAGCAGTAGGCCAAGCTTTCCCACCTGATGACGGACGCTTGTGTTGCGCCCGAAACGTCGTGATTTAATTTAGTTGTTTTCATGTCTTTTATTAAAATTTGTACCTACGTGACTTTACCAAAAAAACAAAGAGTACTACCTAGTCTTTAGTGACTAAGAGTGGCTGTGGATTTGGGACAGGATTATAGTTGAGCATGTAATGTGTTTGATCCATAGCCGCATTGCAAGCATCTACACCTCCCCATTAACACGCTTGGCTCCGTGCGGTGCGAAAGAAATTACATATATACACACACACATACAAGAGGCTGGTCGTGCAGCCAATTTTTACCTCCCCATTCGGTTCCAGAGGGATCTTTGACCACAGACTCCTCCATGAACAGGAACTCCGACGCGGGTGTAAGATGCTGGTGCGCAAGGCTCTGCTTGCGCAAGTGACCCTGCTTACGCCTGCACTTTGGGGTACGGTAGAGCGCTTGCTTCTTTGGAGTAAGGGCAAGACTCTCGCCATCACTGCCAACTTCGCTGCGCTGCCAGGTGCACGCCGGTGGCTGTGGATAAAAGTAAAACGCATTTTTAAAAATACAGAGGAAATAACTTAACATCACCACACGGATTCCCGAAGTCTATCATTATACAATCACACTACCAGACTGAAAACTAATTCCTTTCGAAATTGCTTATTGTGTTCAGTTTCTTGACCTTCCCCCGCACCTCCGATTAGCATGGTTGGCTATGTACGGTGCGAAAGAAGTTCAACGTACGTACGCACATACAAGCTCACAAAATGAAAAAAGCACCCATTCCAGTGACTACAATCCCACACACACTCATGAGGCTACGTCACGACAACAGTGGTGGTATAGATCACGACGGCAGTGGTGATGAAGACAATGTAGGTGATGAAGATGTCAATGTATTTCGAAGAGATGCCTCTCACCGTGGCTGACGTGCTGGAGGCCAGGCACTCGTGCACCCTCTGTAGCGTCGGCTTCTCTTCCTTCTCCTTCATCATTTGTAGTTGTCGCACCAAATGCTCCTTCACTTGTTGCTCTTGCTGGACAACTTGCAGCACGCTCTCATCCCGTACAATCCACTTATGCACCGTTTCCTGCTGCTCCTCCTTCACCGGTTGCTGATGCTGCTGTATCTGCCGTGGCTGCAGCATCTGTCCCACCATTTGCTGTTGCATTACAATCTGCGGCTGCTGTTGTTCCTCCTGCTGTTTCATAATTTTTGCTGGCGCTGTGGACATGGGTTGAGCCTTCACGGCACGGTTCAACGCCGTTGCGACCTGCTGCTGCTGCTCCTGCTTTATGGCAGCAACAAGCGTGGGCTGAATAAAGTGCAATGAGGAAGGCGTCAGCAGGAGGCTGATGGGCTGTGGCTCGGGTGGGCGAGGCAGCAGAGGCTGGACACGTCGAGCTGACGATGGTGCTGGTGCTGGGATTCCATACGCACGCACAGACACGCAACAGATCCACTGCACGTGAGCACAGACGTTGTACGGGCTAGGCCAGCATCGTGTATTATAACCTGCCATAGGAGCCTTTATCAATTAAAGGGGCACCATGGTGGCGAGATGTTATCATCCTCGCCTGGTATGCTGGAGGTCGGGGGTTCGATTTCAACCTAACGCCTGTAAATTTGGAGTTTGCATGTTCTCCCTGTGGTCACGTGGATTTTTTTCCGGGTCCTCCGGTTTTTCCTTCCACTTTTAGAAACATGCAATGAGATTATACAGATTATATTGGTGCTATAAATGTCCAAATGATGGGCCACTTTGTTGAGCTATCATTTGTGGGGCAGGTTGCTTCTGAAAAATAAGTTCATACCTCAGTGGGCTTTGCCTGGTAGGATGGGGATGGTTTAGTTGTATTTGTATATGTTTGGGTGATTCGTTTACCTTTCTTGTACTTTGCGCTACTGTCGTGTTTTTGTTCTGTTTGTTGTTGTAACGTTCTTAACCCTTGCCCCTACTGGACATCTGTGGAAAGGAGCTTCATAGCTCATGGGATTGCTCTAGTATGAATAAATATTCTGATTCTGAATGAGCGCATACAACCGACAGCCTCTTCTAAGGGCTCAATGCATGATCAATTGAAATAAATAGTTAAGAAACCGTTGAAGAAATGGTGTACGAGAGATGAGGTAACAATTGCCATACCTATGAGTGCACTGTGGCTCCCTTGCGATGTATCCTGCAACACATGGGAGCCATGCGGCTCGATTATTCATTCACTTAGAACCAGGGGATAAGGCCGCTGAAGCAGAAATGTCAAACATGTCAACGCAACCCAAGATAAAACATTACACGAGAAGGAAAATAACAAGTGTGCCACACGCCATTCGTCTATTCTGAGCAGGGGTTGCATCGAGTGAAGTGTGGCCGGAGTTTGGCGATATTATAGCGGCACAAAAACGCTCACATTTATACACAAAGATAAAGATCCCCCATATAGCCTTAGCAGACTGTAGGGGCAAGTGCTGTTAGCGAGCACCTATGAAGGCCGCAACGGTACACGAGGGGGTGGGTGGCCAGCACCACGCCCAACCGCCTTTGTCTCCCTAGTGGTGATGTTTACACACCGCACCAGGTACTCATTTGAGGCTGAGTCGACCTAGGGGAGGCCCAGGACCGGTTCAGATAATCGTCACTGGTGTTGGTCGTGAGCGGGAATCGAACCCGGTTCGCCGGGTTCATAGCGCAGCGCGCTAACCGCTTTCACACGCACACTCTTTCAGCACCCCAAGGCTGTGAACGAATGCCTTATCAATATTCTTCATGTCAAGATGCGAGATGCAATAAATGCATAATTAATCCTGGCCCTGGTCCTGCTGGGCTCTCAGCTAGATTCAAATGTCTTGTGGGGCCAGCGTGGCACGGTTTGGATTATGGCGTGGGAAAAAAAAAAAATCACCCGTAGTTTTGAGGGTCCCATGTTGGCTCAGCATGGATGTGCTAGTTTAAAAGAGGAATAAAACAGGTTACGTGTGGACAAAGCCAAGCATCTGTCTTACTCTGAACGAGGCGTGCCGCCTGTGCGTACTCTCATTGGACACAGTCCAGAAGGACTCCTTGCTTCCTGGCACTGTCTCGCGCACAAACATGGTGTGCAGCGACAGGTTGTGTCGGATTGAATTCTGTGGGCAGAGCAGGTGACAGGGGAAAACACTGTGAGAAGAGGCAAAAACTTAAAATACAAAAACTAAATTTGACTTGCAAAATTAAGCTAAAAACTATTTTTATTGTACCAGGTAAGGCCCGCTGAGCTATATAGCTCTTTTCAGAATCGACCTGGCCACAAATGACAGCTCAACTGAAATGGCTTATCATGTGGAAATGTATAGCAAATACTCTACATTGTTTTTTAAATGTGGAGGGAAAAACCAGAGGACCCGGAGAAAAAATCCACACGAACACGGGGAAAGAGACATGCGAACTCCAAATATACTGGCGTCATGACGGTCAGGATCGAACCCACGACCTCCTGTATACCAGGCGAGGTAGTTAACATCTCACCACCGTGGCACCCATTTTCATTTATTTAATATACCCGAACATCAAAAATCGAGCGTTACCCTCCATCCTGGCCGTGCTGAATGTCTGAAGTACGGGAAGCGGTGTGCAATCCAGGCATAGATCTCGCGCAGACTCATTCGCCCGTTGCTGCTGCTGTTGATCGCAAACTGGATCATGGCCATGTAAGAGAAGAGCGGCCGCTCCAGATTCGAGTGGTTGTCCTGATCAACCCAACACCGGAAGGGAGAGGGGGGGGAGGAAACAAGAAAACCCAAAACGCACATTTCAGTAACAATATCAATAATTTCAAACCAGGTAAATGTGCACTCGTATTTCATAATAATCTTTAGCGAGAGAAATATGTCTGATAGCAATGATTGACTTTGAGTTGAAAACTACAAAAAAGCACCATGCGTTTTGAATGTTTACGTGTGCCAATCAGTGCATTAATTTCTAAAATGTAACTTGAACAAAACATGTCAGTGGAGGTGGGTCATTGCCCTGACCAGGGAATCAGCTAAGCCATTTGGTAAACTCCCGTATATTTAATATTGGTTTTACTACCCGGCTTCACCCGGGATTTGGATTCTTGTCTTAGATTAATACACGGCCTACGAGGAGGGTGGGGGGATGCGTGACGTCAGCAGGCACACTGCGTCACGCTGCCGCATGCGAGTGACATTCACAGATGTGACGTCACCGCTCACTTGCCGGGCAAAATATATCCATTATTTCGCCCCCCCCCCCCCCCCCAAATACAAAAGTCTATTTTTATACTTTTTGCATTGTGTACAGTCTGGAAGCTACCCATATGCCAAATTTCAAGTTTGTTGCATGTTGGGACGTATGCTAAACCTTTCGAACGGACACACATTTCCATATTTCCCTTTTATGTATGTAGATTTCAGTATCAAACATATGGCAATGGTCAATTCATGGATGTTATGACATGAAAAGCATATGTATTCAAACAATAACTTTCACTTGTCAAATTATATATATATATAATAAATCATGACCCCACCTTTTTATTATCTTGTAGTTTTTTGCTGTTGGCAGTGGCAGCATCGGTGGCCTCGGTGAAAACACAGCTCTCCACGCCCCTGCCCTTTTGGTCGTTAGCCACCTTTGCTCTACTGCACGAGCTCAGACTCTGCTCCTGCTTTATTGTCCTGTCCACGGCGGGGTGGATTTCGGCAACACCGGGCAGCAGACGATCTCCCTCGAGTCGACCCAGCCACTGTATGCTGGTTAGGCTTTTGTTCATCGCGGCATCTTCGACATTGAACGACGAAGGTTATCAAAGAAAAACCTAACACAGTATACGTTTGAATCTTGCTATTGTGACAGTTGAATATGAACCTTATGGCGGGACCCCGGGGTCCCGAATAAACAGAAGTCAAAATCGTAATTAATTAATTTATTTTTGGCGACTCCGTCCTACCGCGCACATAAACGCCGCGACCCACCAGACGCGGATCATTCTGTTGTCATGTCGTCCAAGCCCAGCGAGGACGAATGCGCAGCAGAAACAAAATTTAGATTAGCGCATCGTGTAGAGCTCGTCGAGAGGAATAGATTGCCGTATCGTTCGCCTTCAACAGGCATAAAATGACGTTGCAACGCAGTTTATGCGAGAGCCGGGGGCTTATGGGATCCCAGGGTCCCGACATAAGGTTCATATAATCATCATTATCTTTAACCATGATTACATTTTGTCGTGATCTAGTGATACTGTAATTATATCATTATCTGCAACGTGCCTGACATTCTCCATCGCCAAAAATAATCTCTCACCAATTAGTCTGGCTTCAAGAGGTTTTACTACATTTTCGTGTGAGAAATTCAACTTAAAAAAAAAACTGTAACCAGCTCGTGTTGGAGACACTGTTGGTGGTGCATTTTATGTTCACTTGTATAATGAAACATCAGTTCAATGTTCAATCGATCTTTCAAAAATGTCCAAGGTTAAAAATCTAATGAACTGATACACTCTACCGGTGAGACTTGCATTGCTTCACTCTCAGCGCCAGGTAACAAATGTATGCCCTTTCAGACTCATGAAACTGCACCTTCCCCTCGAATCACAGTCGATCTGTTTGCATTTACGGCTGCTGACTGACCCACTAGCAGGTACCCAAATTCGCTTCCAAGACTAATATGAATCTCAGCAAGTTCTCATCTGTACCTCCGATAGGCACGGATGCCTACGTATGGTGCAAAACAAGTTCAACATACATACATCTGCTAATAGGGTTTTTCCCCTTTTTTCTGGCAACAAAACTGACACCTTTTGCAAGGAATCATGCTTACATTAACCACAATACTTGCAGTCAAATGCAAGTATCTGGTCGAACACCATATGAGACTAGGCTCTAAAGAAAGCTGTCTCTGGTGTGGACCAATCAATTTCAAAGACAATGCATAAATTATCAGAGTATTATTTTTTGTTTGCATTTGACTGCGAGTATTGTGGTTAATGTAAGCATGATTCCTTGCAAAAGGTGTCAGTTTTGTTGCCAAAAAAAAGGGGAAAAACCCTATTAGTATATTTTGGTACTGGCAAAGGAAGGTTCCATGATGATACATACATCTGGATCGCTCAAATATAACAACCGCATTAATGACGTACCTTTCTCGATGCCTGCGCCACAATTTCCCACAGCCGCTGTCCCAAAGGCACGCGTCGGCAACTTCGGCGCTGCAACAAAGCTCGCGGCGTGGTCGGCGGACTTCATCAGGCACGCGGTTGGAGCTGCCATGTTTTCCTTTCCAGGAAAGCAGGTCCGGCCTGCGTGGCGCGGTGCAGGAGGGTGTTCGAGGAGGATGGCCTTGCGCGGCGGTGGATTCAAGCCGGCACCGCTGCAATCTTCTTCCGTGCGGTTGTGCTGCTGACGCCGTGCGAACTCCGCCTTACCGCAATGTGCGCTTGCAACTCTCGCCACGATCGGCACCTGTGCCAGAACACAGACATGCCTCTTACACTTTGTTAAGTTCGGCAGGCTACGATTGTGGTACAATCCTAAATGACGTCAAGAGTGCAGATGGGTGTCGGAGCTACTGTGTAACTCTCACTCTCGAAAACAGTTGTTGCTAGGGATTACGTCTTCAATCCGTGTGCTTCAACTGGTCTGGGATTGAGGTATCTTTATATTATTGATTATATTATTATGAATGTTATCAATCATTGATTTTGGAATATATTATGTAAGTTTATTCATTATTGTTGGTTATGATCGACTTGTAGTTCTGACCACTCATTAAATTTCTCATAACTTTTTGACACCCAATGACCAAACTCTCATACTTTCTCAGTTACGACAAATCTCGAATCAAACTTAGGATATTACTATGTCATAAGTTGTTCTGTATTCTGGCTTCTGGTGACCATGACTGTATCAGGATCTAATGCTCTCGAGTTTGGATGCAATTATGTAAATTATATGTTGCATTTGAAGACAAACTCCGTAACAGCTGCCAAAGAATGTTGAACTTATTTCGCACCGTACGTCGCCAACTGTTATAATCGGAGATGCGGCGGAATCACAACAAACAAAAGCAGTTCAAAAGAAATTAATTTTCAATTCACATTTAAAATGCATAGCTCCAGCGGCTTCCTAATATCAGAAGACGGGCATTTCAGCCGGCCGCAGAAGCGCATCTGAAAGCGCGCGACGCAGCGACCGTCTTTAAATATCTGACTTTTTGAGGGATATACCAATACCTGGGAGCCAGCCGTGGCAACATCGTCTCGCATGCCCCCCTGCAGCAGGGCCCCCTTGGACGGTGGGCATTGCTCGCCGTCGTGCGGACGCTTCCGCCTAAGAATGAGTGGCCGTGGGCGCCCCCTGTCCATCGCCGCCGCTGCTGTCCACGTGGGGTTTCAGGGCTGCGATCTGCTGGTGCTGTTAGAAGAGGTGGTAAAAAAAGTCATGTGGATTTTATAAGTGGCTTTAACGGTTCATAACCCTCATTATGATGGGGGGGGGGGGGAACATTCGAGTAGAAGCACTTTAACCAAACTCTAAAATTAAAAACTGTTTGAAATGTTTCGATTTAAAGCTTTCGTGACTGCAGGGATTCATCTTCTTGGTTCTTTCGGTAAAGTCACGTAGAATGAAATAATAAAAATAAAACATAATAAAATATTCTCACGACGTTTCGGCCACAACAGCAAGCAGCCGTCCACAGGTCTGTCGAGAAGACATTTCAGACTCTGTCTTCTCGACAGACCTGTTCTCCACCTGAGGACGGCTGCTTGCGTTGTGGCCGAAACGTCGTGAGAATTATTTTATTATGTTTAATTTTTATTATTTCATTCTACGTGACTTTACCGAAAGAACCAAGAAGATGTTTGAAATGTTTTGAGGAACTATTTAAACCTAGTTTCACATGAATGGTTTAGCCAAATCTTCTGAAATTAAAGTGCACAAACCACCATGCCGGGAGAATGGATCGAAACGGTGACACGTGCATTGCAAGTCCTGGATGTGCTAACGGTGCTAACCATAACTCTGTTTCTCAGTTCAACTGGTTAGCATTTCACGTATATTGCCATTCGTATTTATATGTGCGGAAATCATTGTACGGTTTTACTGGTTTTTTAATGCAGCAATAAAGTCATAAAAAAAGAGATTTTAACCACCCGAATAGAATGAGACCCAAATTAAGCCAGTGCACATGGGCAGCTGCATAAGCACCCATATGAATGCCTGAAATATTAATTCAGCATCTGCCCCTCTTAGTTGATTACTTTATATTTGTTCATGTCCTCAAGAACTTTAAAGAATGGGTAACCTCGCTACAATTTTTCAGTGCCAGGCATATCCTTCACCTGCAAGGTATGTATGTTGAACCTATTTCGCACCCTGCCAGCGACAGTAGAGATGTCGCAAGGGGCAAGGTATCACACCCGACCTTTTGACTACGATCTGATCACAAAGTGGTTGAGGATTATAATATTCCAATCAGGCTGTCTCTTCTCACCAAGGACTATTGGTCCTGATGGATGAGACGTATCAACGCACTCTAGAGGTTTCCCCTCGGGTATGCTTAGAACTTGTTTGGAGTATTTGGCTCCTCTTCTTGGTTGTTTCGGTAAAGTCACGTAGAAGGGAAATAATAAAAATAAAACATAATAAAATCATTCTCACGACGTTTCGGCCACAACGCAAGCAGCCGTCCTCAGGAGAAGAAGAGGTCTGTCGGAAAGACAGCGACAGACCTGTTTTTCACCTGAGGACGGCTGCTTGCGTTGTGGCCGAAACGTCGTGAGAATTATTTTATAAAGTTTATATTTTATTATTTTATTATTTCCCTTCTACGTGACTTTACCGAAAGAACCAAGAAGATGAATCCATGCAGTCACGAAAGCTTAAATCGAAATTTATTTGGCTCCTATACATTTCCACGTGATAAACCACTTCGCTGCGTATCATTGGTGGCCACGTCGCTTCTGAAAAAGAGCTATACTGTATATAGCTAGGTGGGCCTTATCTAGTAAAACATTTTCAAAAAACTTTCATTGTTTTAACTTCGCCATCACAGCAAACACATTTCCCTCGTAGGATGGGAGGGTTAAAGGTGCAGAGTGCGTGACAGCCCAGGTTTGTTGACTATTTCTCCGACGCTCATGAGCACGTGTTGGCATTGACAGCAACGCACGAACTTCAGCGGGTACTCTTTTAGGCCGAGTATTAATAGTTATGGCGAGGAATCTAAGCTAAGCAGGCTTGTAGAGCAGGCATAACCAATATGGCACTAATGCAAATATATTCACTGCATAAACAAACACCGCTCCGTATAGACGGTAAGGCAAGCGAGTATAGTACCCATTTATACCGGTAGTAGTGGTCAACACATCACACAGAGCCGCATGTGCAACCCGTCTCTTAAACTACTGTTATATAAACTACAGTACTAACCATTGTAACTACAAAGCTTACTATATAGTGGTGAGAGCTACTGATGTAGCTCAAAGATAAACTCTGGGTGACGTGAAACCGATTTGACTAATCGTAAAACCTGCTTAAAGATAACTAATAACACTACGCATCTTGCAACAAATCTGTAAAACGTGGGTAGGTGCCATGTGTTCACTGCGTGTTCTAGTCAACAGCAGGCCGCGATAAGCCACTAACGGTTCACGGATGTCACACTGGACACGTGGCGGGTGGGAAGAGCTTCATAGCTCTTCGGATTTCCCCTCCAGTCTAAATATTCTGATAAACCCGACGCAGTAGTATCGGCTCGTAACGGGGTAATTTATTAAAAGAGACACACACAACACACACGAATAACCGACTGCGAGAACATCGCCACGACCACCGAGTTATACGCGCGGCGTTTCGTTTGCAGTCGAGGGAAAGGCGCCAAAACGTCCACTCGCTCGCGTCTGCGCTCCTTCAACAAAGCAACAACAATGACAACAACAATAATAACAACAACAGCAGCAAACCCCGTCTCCCCCGCCCGCCACATGAAAGCAATCGTCTCCAGAGCGGTGGCGAACGGCGGCGATAGGCCAAAGCCTTGCTGGGTTACAGGCGAGGTTGTCGCGCACACGACGGCGGTCACGCAAACACACGGCAGTCGCCACAGGGGGATGGGCACGGTACATTTCTAAGAGGTGACATTTACCGAAGGCATTCAACTCGGGGTGTTCGAGAGTAGCCGACAATCGTCGGGACGTTGAAAAGTCGCTCGCCTCGCCGCCATCAACTCACCCACAATTCAAATTCGGCGACCGTTAACCGATGGTCCAATCGGGCGCGAGCTCGGGATCACGTGGCATCGCAGGTGACCAATAGGGAACACCCCCCTCCCGCTTGACCCCCACCCCCCCTCCGCCGTCGCCCACTCTGTCATCGCACGGATTCGCTATTGGACGTCGAAGCGGCTGTCGGTGGTCACGTGGCGGGAAATTGTATGCGCATGCGCATTAGATGACACTCCCCCCCCACCTCCCGCCCCCTCCCACCAGCTCCCCCCCCCCACCACTCTCCTACTTCCCCCCCAAAAAAGAGGAAATGAAAGTAAATTTTGATTTAAAGCTTTCGTGACTGCAGGGATTCATCTTCTTGGTTCTTTCGGTAAAGTCACGTAGAAGGGAAGTAATAAAATAATAAAAATAAATAAAATATTTTATTATGTTTTATTTATAAAATAATAAAATAATAAAAATAAATAAAATATTTTATTTTATAATGTTTTATTTTTATTATTTTATTACTTCCCTTCTACGTGACTTTACCGAAAGAACCAAGAAGAAGAAGTGAAAGTAATTCTGGATTTGAAGTTTTCGTGACTGCAAGAATCCATACTCGTTGGTTTTATTCGGTAAAGTCACTTAGGTAAAAAAATAAAATGTGATTTAATTTAGTTGTTTTCAAAAAATAAAATGTGATTTAATTTAGTTGTTAAAAAAAGTGATTTAATGTAGTTGTTTTAAAAAAAACTATTTGATTTAATTTAGTTGTTTTCAATTAAAAAACTTTTACCTACGTGACTTTACCGAATACAACCAAAGAGTAAGTGAAAATAAACAGAATATATAAATATATAAACTAGATTTGAAGCTTTCGTGACTGCAGGAATTACTCTTTGGTTCTTTCGGTAAAGTCACGTAGAAATAAATTAAATTAAATAATAATAGAATAGGACGTTTCTATGTTGTGTGTCTCTCTCTACTTGGGGCCGTCCATAAATGACGTCACGCAATTTTTAACGATTTTTGACCCCCCCCCCCGTCGTCACACGCCCTCATATATGACGTCACAAAGCTCTGCCCCCCCCCCCCTAAAAAAAAACATTTATTAAAAAGTCTATTTAATTAAGTAGAACGTGTTGTCTATATTTATTTAAAGTTGCGCATTTTGATGTGACGTCACATTTCTCACCCCCCCCCCTCGTCACACATCGTCACAAATGTCTGACCCCCCTCCCCCCCTAGGTGCGTGACGTCATTTATGGACGGCCCCTTGTGTGTCTGTCCGTGTGTCTCCGTGTCTGTGTTTTGTCTCTCTTTCAAATGCAGCATTCTTCGGAAGAACGTTAATCAACAATGTTGACTTGTGTTAGCCGACTCTCTGGGTTGTATTGCATTATAATTCTAAGTTTGCAATGTTTGTTTTCTCATTCATTCGTCCCTGATAATGGTTGCTTGTGTTGCAATCGAAAAGTCGTATTATATTATTATTAAATTTATTTTCTTTCTACGTGACTTTACCACGTAGATATAACAAATAATTGAAATAATAGCATTTAACAGAATGTATTATTTGGGTCTTTCGGTAAAGCCACGAAGATAGAACAATTTTGTATTATTTTTTTAATGTAATAATGTTATTATTTTTATTATTTGTTCTATCTACGTGGCTTTACCGAAAGACCCAAAGAATATGAATTCCTGCAGTCAGGAAAGCTTTAAGTCAAGATTTAAACAGAATATGTATTCATAATAGAGTTATTTTGGATTAGATCGCGTAAATATATAAATGTGTCGTTAAAACTCGCCACCACCCGACACAGCCAACTAGTAAGGGTTGTTACGTTTCGTCACTAGTACAGTACACCGGTGTGTTGGAGAGCCAAGCCACAACATTTACAATCCGAGTGCGACGTTTCGCCAGTAATTACAACCAGCTTCATCAGGCGACAGCCAGATTTGTGGAGAAGTCCACCTGTTTCGTTCCTTATATCGAGGCGTAGATGTGGTGACCACGCTTCTGCGCTCTTGCGCCACGTGGGGAGGGGGGATTAATGAAGCAATGTACATAATGCATGTTCCTTAATGTGAGCCCTTAGATCATGTCCTTCCTGTCTATTGTGTTTATTAAAATAGCCCTACCAACGGTAACCCCTATTGAAGTATGCGGCCCTTTGTAGGCATGCATTTAAATAATGTGTTATTCGATGATTCGCTTCCACGCAGCACTAAGCAGGTAGCTATCCGAACGGTTAAAGTTATTTTTATTTATTTCAATTTCGATAGATTCTCTAATTAGTCTTGGCCAGTAGTAGCTAGTTTTGCACAGAACTTCAACATTATCAAAGTCAATTGAGTGTCCTTGTTGGCACGCCTGTTCTGCTACTGCTGACAGTTGTATTTGGGATTATTTAATATTTCTCTGATGTTCTTTTAGTCTCGTGCTGATCATTCGTCCTGTTTTATCAGCCCCTCGAAACTGTAACTTTCTGACCCGCCCCTACTGGACATCTGTTTATAAAAGAGCTTCATAGCTCATCGGATTTCTCCTGCAGGCTAAATAAAGATTCTGATACTCGCACGTTTTGTTTTTGAGAAGTTGTGTTCCTCGTCATTGCAAATGTTGCACACAAAAAGAAGGGCCGTTGCCTGAAACGTCGCCTGCAAATTTATTTTCTTCTAGGGAATTGCCAATGACAAAATTGTCAAGTTGTTTTGTAATTTGTGCTTGTGTACTACTGCCAAAAATGTGATTGTCTAATTTGTAACAAGTCTGCATCGATAATATTTGGTATTTGAATTAACAAAAAAATTACATTGTAAGATAAAAGTGTAATGTGTTGAGTTTTTGTCACATTATTACCACGCAACGTGCCCGAATATAAACTTAAATGAGCTCTGCTCTCTCATTTACGATAAAATCGCACCAGATGGCGCTGTAATGCAAAGAGCCTTACAATTTTAGAACAACCATTCCTCCACACTTTATGCAACTCACTCCAGGAATACGCCTGAACCAAGATGTTGTTGCGGTGTGTTTAGTAATTGTCGATGTCAATCATCAAACTAGTCGCGAGAGGGTCAAACTCCTCTGGTTAACCGGTGTCCGTGTGATCCTGCAATTTACAAAATCAGAATAATTATTTATACCGCAGAAATCCGATGAGCTATGAAGCTCTATTTCACAGACGTACAGGAGGGGCGGGTAAGAACGTTACAACAACAAACGGTACAGAAACACGACAGTGGTGCAAAGTACAAGAAAGGTGAACACATCACCCAAAGACGGAAGCTTGTGTTGCCTCCGAAACGTCGTGATTTAATTCAGTTGTTTTTTCATTTATTTTTTAACTACGTGACTTTTACCGAAACAACCAAATAGTGTGTAAATTACCCAAACACACACACATACAGCACTATAAACCATCCTAATCCCACCAGGAGCACAACACCGCTGCGTGTTGCACGGTACGACCAAAGGCATGCTCTGGGAATCATCCCCAGCCAAGGTGACATTCTGTGGCTTATAGATCAAAATTGTAAAAGCCATCATCATGACCGGAAAAGAAAAATAACTTCAGGCCTGATATCCATACGTTTCAAACGACACACAAACGTGTGCTAAAAGGACTCACGTACATTATGCAAACATCCACCAACAGTTCTGGAATGGCTGCGTTGCGGTCTGCTTATCTGAGGTTGTCATCAAATACATTTGGGTAATTGTGACCGACTGACAGGCCCAGAGGTGAAATGTTAGGACACCACTGGAGCTATGCACGTTTAAATCTCGATTGAAACGCATTTCATTAGAACTGCCTTTTTGTGTTTAGTGTGTTGTCCTCCCCCTCCCCGCACCTCCGATGAACACGTTTGACTACGTACGGTACGAAAAAAGTCCAACATGCGCATCTATATACGGCCCGCTCACCAATGACTGCACACACAAAATTACTGAAAATGTGTTCTGTGCACAATTGATCTAAATGGCATCTGAGATTAATAGTCAGATAGATGGTGGACACACATTACTCTCGGTCAGAAAGAGGATGGGAAAGTGCTGCCCAGTAATGTGTGGAAAAAAGGTTACCGGAAGGGCACTCAGCAGTAGTTTTGTGATACCCGCTTCTGCAGATCACTCTCGAACACGAAAGGTTGCATGGCCTATCACTGCTGCGCTGGATAATAACGGAAGACTTCGTCTCGCTGCACGGCAACTACAGCACAGTCAGAACATTGGGGAAAACCAATTTTTTTCTAAAGTAAAAATAATTGTCCACAGTTTGTTGATGAGGCTCAAGAGGGGTTTAAATCGATTCGGGATTTGCCTTGTATAGTCACAGACTACCATTGGTTGATGGGTTCATGCCAATGTTTTGTTTGCTCTTAAACGCCACTTTTGTGACTGGTTGACTAAAGTTAACAAAATAAGAACGACCACAAGCCAAGTGAGCCCACTTTGATCCAACAGGTGTCTTTAAAACAACACTTATCACGATGTACTGTACCTGATTATTTCAAGTAGGACCCTGGTCGGAGTCTGGGGGCACGGGGGGGGGGGGGGTAACGTCCCCTAAAACTGGACATCTTTATTACTAATTTTTCAGTAGTTTACAATTAATATTGAAAATTATCTTCTTGGTTCTTTCGGTAAAGTCACGTAGAAGGGAAATAATAAAATAAAAAAAATAAAACATAATAAAATAATTCTCACGACGTTTCGGCCACAAAGCAAGCAGACGCTGTCTCCCCGACAGACCTGGTCTTCACCTGAGGACGGCTGCTTGCGTTGTGGCCGAAACGTCGTGAGAATTATTTTATTATGTTTTATTTTTTGATTTTTTTATTTCCCTTCTACGTGACTTTACCGAAAGAACCAAGAAGATGAATTCCTGCAGTCACGAAAGCTTTAAATCGATATTTAAAATTAATTAAATATATGCACCCGCGATTCTTAATGTGAAGTACAAGGCGAACTCCTGCCCCCTTCCCCCCCCAAATATAGAAGTCAAACTTCGCCTCTGAGTAGGACCCTT